GCAACGCCTGAAGGTTCTTACGGCGTTTTTCCTTAGCATGGCAGCATTCTCCTCAGAAAGCCTGTGTTTCTCCAGGTGCCTTGCCCTACAGGGTACTCAGTCTGTTACAATACACGTAACGATATTACTTCTTTTCGTATTGTCCCGGATAATAATTTATCGCGCAACTGTTGGTTTTCATTCGTATCATCTGCGTTCTTCGCTTACTCGCGATAGGATTCGATTGAAACCGTCACGGATCAGGATTGAAATAGAATTTTGAGAGTGAGATGTCGTGACGTCATCTTTTCCCTGACAAATTTTAATAGAATTCCCTAACGTTTGACGATAGGTATGGGAGATAGTTAAAAAGCACCCCTTCCAAACTCGAACACGCAACAACAGTTGTTCGAGGCATCGAACACATCATAGGAAGCAAATAGGGTAACTTAGAAATTATTCCCTAACAGCTTCCGATTTCCACTGGATTATAAAAATTGCCTGACATTTCCCGGTTTTTCCTGACTAACAACTATAGCAGAGACTCGATATTTTCCGGTGTATCTTTTTTGTTTATGACTCCCGTTGATTTCTCATCATTTTATTCGAATTTTTACCACGAAAAGTGGTAAAAAATAAGCTCGATGTTCTCATTAAACTTTTCTAATCCGCAGAATTTCAAGCAGACATTTATCAGTTAATTCTGCTAGGGAATAAAACATAGCCGATTTTGAAACCCAGCGATGAAACTGCAAACACGTGTTTTGGTAGTTACAACATTCACCATCCGGCACGGTCTTTGATTGAGGGAATTTCTGAAGGCCACTATTGCTACTTCACCTACTTTGAGCTGCCGCGTACTTATAAATCTGAAAATTCCAATGCATAATGCCAACATTGCACTTCCCCCAATAGTAACACCGTGGAATTTAAACTTACAGACCACGTTTCAATGTTTATTTTATTACCAACTAAATACTCAGTAATTAACTAAATACTAAACTAGATAATTGTATTTACTTCATGGTCTTAAGCAAAAAAGTCCAAGGGGAGATTTAGAGTTAATGCATACTCCATCAGAGAGTTAGGTTTAGTCTGAGCATAGATTTCTGATGTTAAACTTTGTAGTGACTATAATTTCTACGTAGTATCTTTTGAGCAATGAGCAGGTCCACTTTCCTAACAATAAAGTCGGAATTCTAATTGTAAGTTTAAAAGCTCCTGCTTCATACTCAAACACCTAAATCGAAAAAAATACAATTTAGTGCAAAAATGCAAAATAAATCGCAAAAACCTTCAGGAGCCTGAGCAGGGGATAAAAAAGATATTTATCCAAGGTGTGGAATCTCCACGAATGCACGTTCTGGTTGCGAAGTTGTTCCAAAAATGGAGGATCTACTTTCCGCCTCCTAGCTAAACTCGATATTTTACCAAATATTTTGCATTGACTCAACCCAACAGTCTTCATGGAAACACTATTATCACTTTGTGACAGCAGCAAGCATAAGCTCTGGTACATTTGCGTATTTATTTTATCGAATAGTATTTATTATCGTAACTCTTTAGTTTCTATCTCGAAACTTGGAGCTGGATTCAGAAGTAGAGAGGGAGAAAAAAATAAAAAAAACAAAAGCAGTAGATAAAAAGTGCGGCAGCATAGGACGATTAGGCAGCAGCCTGATTAAAAGTTGTCATGAATAAACATTTACATTGGTGCTAAGTTTTGGCACCAGTGGCATAAATACCTAATAATGGTCCCGACATTGCAAGTAGTTGAACATGTATCAGAACTGCAAGGCTGAAAAATCCCAGACCATGCTCGATTTTTGTTTTAAAAATTAAAAAAAGAGGTAACTGAAATATCGCCGCGATATCCTCTGTTGTGAAATGATCTAGGAAAATTCGCGGAAAATTTTGAGAAGATGTTGAATTTAAAAAAGGAAAAACAAAACATAACTAGAAACGTAATATGAGTGAAGGTATGCACGTTACAATCGGAGATAAATGGGTTTTTTGCGCATAGCCATCCATATCTGACTTCGTTCACGAAAGGCGTTATGAGATAACTATTCGATCACGGGTGCTGTCCATATTGCCGCTAGATGGATTGAAGGCGCGTCACTTTGCGACATGGCCAGAACCACGTTCTGCTCGCTGGCGCGGTGCGAATAGCGCCGCCAAAGGCCAAAAAAGACCTAAGCGTCTTAATTCTCGACTCGCTTCTCATTTCAATCACCATTTAAGGAAAAATATGAACCGTGTTAAATTTTTTTTTTTTCATTTTTTTTTAAAAAAGTAACCGAAATTCGTAGCTAAATTCTCTGTTATGAAATGATTCACAAAAATTCGAAATACCTAATTACGAAAATTTTGATAAGAAGTTTTGAAAAGGTTGAAAGGTTGAAGGTTTGAAGGTTTGAAGGTTGGAGGTTTGAAATTTTTTTTTTTTTCATTTTTTTTTAAAAAGTATCCGAAATTCGTAGCTAAATTCTCTGTTATGAAATGATTCACAAAAATTCGAAATACCTAATTACGAAAAACAATTGCTTGTTAGTTTTCAAAGAAAAAGAAAGAAATAGTAACGGAAAATGAGTGGAGGTGTGCAACTTTGCAATCGGGGATAAATTGGTTTTTTGGCGCGTAGCCATCCTCATTTGACTCTGTTTACGGAAGGCGTTTTGAGATAACTATTCGACCACGAGTGCTGTGCATATTGCCGCTAGCTTGATTGAAGGCGCGTCACTTCGCCAGAATGACGGGACCACGCCCGTTCCCTATCATAATTTAAGGAAGAGCGTTCCCCATGCCACACGAAGGTCTCCAGTTTTAGTAGCTTGAAATTGAAGCATCGTCTCCATCCATCAGACTCTAAGTATATGCCCAATAATTTTAATAACTGCCGCATGAAACTTTTGCTACCTAAGCTATTCACCCTTCCTACTTAGGGTCATACTCCCACAGGATAATGTTTGCTATCATGAAAGATTTCTGTGACGAAAAACAAAACATGTATATTAGAGCAAGATTGTATAAGAGAAGAGGCAATAACAGTTTGAAATCCTTAAAATCCATTTTTAACTTGAGAGGTCCAGTTAAATATTGATGGTTCTAATTCCATGTGTTGACACGCATGTTTCTGTGGAGATTATGCAACTTCCCTTTGTTTTCAATTTACATATTGATATGGTGGGTGTTCAAACGATCAGGATATACATATTTTATACAGTTTCCAGAAAAGATACTTGAGACTTTAACAGTCTGGCTAGCCATTGCTAGTCAAAGATAATCTGCTAGATGCTATGAGGCCTTCTTCACAGTAAACTTTTTTTCTGCTGGTCTACCTTTTTAAAAGAACTGGGGAATATTAGATCATGCTTTGTCTTCTTTAAATTACGTTAAACTGATAAATTAGGTAAGTCAAGGTACTTCAGTTCAAGACATCTCAATTAATTAGCTCTAAAATAAATTTACTGATTTTTTACAGACATTTTCAAAGCTGTGGGTTATTGAGGGCATAGATTGGGCATGGTTGGAAGCTGGAAATGTTCAACAGGTTAAGGTGATCCGACAGACGCCATATTTTGTGTCAGAATGACATGTAATATATCATCACTTAGTTCCATGTTTTCAGCTCCTTGTACTTTTGTTGAATTTTCTGATTGCATTTCTGTTGTCACAAAACTAGAGAATTCACATACCAAATTTGACAATGACATTCAAGGCAGGGTTTTATTTCGGAGGAAAAATATTGCATTTGAGTGCAGTTTCGATATCTGTATCAAATGTGTTATTTCTCCTCTAAAAAAGAACCCTGCCTTCACTACACTGAATTAGTTTGTCAAATTTGGTGAGTGAATTCTTCAGTCTTGTTACAACAGAGACGCAATTCCAGAATTCGATAAATTGACAAGTGGCTGAAAACGTGGAACTAATCGATGCAATATATCGCATGGCATTCTTACACAAAATATGGCAGCTATCAAGTCACCTCATGATCGTAACTGAAACTTTCCAAGCATTAGTAGATTATCTAAGGGTTGGATGTATTTTTCAGCAATGTTTTTCTTAATGATTAGGAGAGACTAGTGAGACAATACTGATGTAGTGCTTCTCCTACTCAATCTGTGCTCAATCATATCCAGACGGAAGAGTGCGGTATAACCCCAGCTGGAGGGGCACAAGAGCTTTCTTGGCAACGGAGGAATAGAGAAATGTAGGACACATGCAAGATGCTATTTCATGCTTAAAAGGAAAGTCGGTATACTTACGGTTCAGCTTCGATCGACATAAGTTTTGCGACATAGTTGGATGGAATGTACCCTTCTTGCTTGGTAGCTTTGCTGCGAGCAAGCCACCAGTCTCCCTGAGTATCGTTTAATATTTCTAGGTGCTCTCCCTTGCGGAAACTGAGATCCTCATCTGTCCGTGCATCGTAGTCGTACAACGCGACGAATATTTTCGCGTTGGCATTGCTCGAACTTGACGTTTCAGGTTCGGGAATGGGAGGCATAGGGCCGTTTCTAACCTCTCTGACAACATTTTCATGGGTGGGTAACTGAACAACAGGTAATAAATTGGAAGATCCCGACGCTGTTGCTTCCTTGCTACCGATGGGATTCGCGAGTCCCACACCGTCTTTTTTGGTCGAAGACCTTTGACGACTAAAGCAATTACCCATGATTAACAACAATGAAACTTAGCTGTCACATAGGCTTCGATTAGAGCTTTCACTAATGAAACTGTCGACGAGGCTCGTATTATCACTTAAAATTCAGTCATGGAAACAACTCAAGACGAAGAACTACACTTGAATAAAACTATGTAGATCGTAAGTAGACGCGTTTGCCCTAATAATACAGCCAAAAATTACTCACACAAAAACGAAAAAACCACTACAAAAATGATCAAAACACGGTGTTTATGATAAAGAATGACACGGCAGCCATATTAGAACTGATGTGAAAGTTGATTGGTGGCTCGTTCCGCCTCTGATGACTAATCTCGAAACAACAATAACAACACGCAATTCCCCGTCAAAACACATGTGATAACCAGTGATAAGTGATAACTGATTATTTAGTTATTTACCAAAAGTGAACGTAAAAATGGTTATAGAGAAAGATTTTAAGGATCCTAGGATTCTCCAGTTGAAAGAAGAAATAAAGAATTTAAAGCTTCTGCTGTGTCAAAAAGAAACTGAACTTTCAGAACTGTTGAAACCTGTAGCATTCAGCTGTTGTCATGGACCATCCGTAAGTTTTTTTCTTTTCAGTTCGGTCTTGGCGGATACTTCCAGAAGTTTATGTTAAAGATCTCAAAATAAGTACACATCTCAGTCGGTCGATGTCAGACTTCCTGTGGTGCTTCATTCACTTTCTCAGCGACAAAGTATTCAATGTTGTTCTCTGTAAACTTCCATGATTACTCTTCTTTAGGTGAAGAATATTCTATGAAAATGAGGATTGATACTGATTGGTTCTATGATAAAGAAAGGAAATAGCATAAAAGATTTTGAAACACTGCAATTGTGATACCTGCGGACTAAGGAATTTCATTGTTGAAGTGTTGTGTTATCTTCAGGGCTCTCTATCCCAAGATTACTGATAGTGCTCTTCTTTCCTCTGTGCACTGATCTTAGTAGATCATTATGTCATCGTATTGTAAAAATGTAGAGTCCCTTGCAATATTGATGATCAATGGCTGACTGTCACCTCCTGTCAAGAACTTATTGTGAAAGTCAAGTGTTGGACACCAGTTTGACCACGTCACTTGAACCTGACAAATCACCTTAATGAGAAATATTATTTTAAGGAAAGGTGTTTTCTCTCTCTCTCTCTCTCTCTCTCTCTCTCTCTCTCTCTCTCTGATGTGTCAAATTTAACTTAATTTTTTTTTTTTTCTTTTTATTTCAGATGAAAGGAGCTTCCAAAGAAAAGTTGAGTGCAACTGAAATTTCTCGTTATAGCAGGCAAATGCTAATCCCCAAGATAGGAGTCAAGGGTTTGTATATTTTTAATTCCCTTCATTTTTTTCTTTTGATAAGTTCATGTTAAAAATATGAATAATGGAAGAAGATCTTAAAAAATGGGAAGTTCGAATGGGAGAGGGAATTTTATCAGAGCAGGAGGCGTAGGTACACATTAGTAAACATCCTGTAATTGTTATTCTGGAGCTTATACCTAAAAGTAGACAATGAGCCACTCTAGGTATCCTTTTCTAGAGATGTTCATTCTGGAACAGAAGATCAGCTGTCTCCAGTTTAAAATTGAAAGTTAATGTAGGATTCAAGATTGCAAATTTTCTGCCTCAATCTTACAGCGCGCAGAGTTTTTAATGAGGAAATTGGAACTGCCTCAATCTGTAAGTGCAATGAGTGTTAAATGAGGAATTTGTGAGATGGAATGAATCCCTCTTTCAAATTGAAAAAAATTGATCTCGATTCAAACAACTTCTGGCGTTTTTTTGGCAAAAAAAGTAGGTAAGGCTCAGTATTCTACTGCTTAGTTACCCCATTTCACCTTACTGTCTTAGCAATTAACTGCAAGTACTCAGTTTGAAGGTTTCTCTTTTCTGGAACCCTGTTCTCTTCTGAAGGAAACCTATTCTTAAAAATGTCTCTGTCTGTCTTTTACAGGTCAGCTGAAATTAAAAAACAGCTCTGTCTTAATCGTAGGAGTTGGAGGGCTTGGTTGCCCAGCTGCCTTATATCTTGCTGCTGCAGGAGTGGGTAGGTAAAACTATGTTTTCTCTTTGAACTTGAAGCTAAAGAATCAATTCATAATTTAATAATAGCAGGCTGATCAATATTACAAAGAGTAGTTTTGCCAAGTAATTCGCTTACTTTTACTTTTGCGAGGTAAAAATAATTCATTTCTAGTTTCTCATAAGTTTGCCCATCAGACCCAAAATTATCAAAATCCGCTTACATCAGCTAAAATTTGACACAGACATTGTGTAGTGAAGGTTACAAATGTTAAGCTCCTGCAATAACAAAAGAGAAAACAAAATATTATCAACTCAAAATGGGTCCGGGTTTCTGACAGTGTAAAAATCCTGGAAATTAAGGGAATTTATGGCGACTTAAGAAATCAAGGAATTCGTAGGCAAAGTCAGTGAATGTATTGAGTTACGTGCAGGTCGGCAAATTCAGCCAGTGCTGTTTGAGAAAGTGCAAAACCTAATTGCCTCTTTCCATAATTTGAATCTGTAAAAGTGGAAAGTTTGTTCAAAGTTTGACCAAAGTAAGCATGATTGAAAGAAAAATAATTAAAAAGAAGTTTTGTTTGAAGGTCAGGAAAAATCAGGGGATTTGGGAATTTTGGAGTGAAGGAAACAGCAAATAAGTGAAGAAGAGTAAGGGAATTGAGAAAAGAAAAAACAGCGGAAAACTATGTCAGTACAATTATTGTTGTTATTACATAGTTTTCCTTTTTTTCCATCCTAAAAACATGTAGAGAAAATTGTAATACTTGTTAAGGAGGAAAGAGAAAAGAATCAAGGAACAACATTTGAATGAACTTCACCAATAATACCTAGTCCAACTTCTAACTATTGCACTGTTGTTTTTGTAGTTAGGAAGAAAAGTAAAAATAATTACCTGAATACCAGATGTTTTCAATATTTATAAAGAGTCAAAATCGCAGGGCTTTCATTCTTTCTGAGCAGAATCACTACACTGTATGTATAGCAATTTTCTAAGTAATCTCTTCTTTTTATTAATACTCATATCAATGGTGCTCTTATTTCTCATTATGTGAATGTTTTTTATATTGTCCAGGTTGCATAGGGCTAGTGGACCATGACTGCGTTGAAATCAACAACCTTCACAGACAAGTTTTGCATTCAGATGTATTTTTGAACCAACCAAAGGTGGACTCCGCTTTTGCTGCTTTGAGGAGGTTTGTAAACTGAATACAAACTCATACAAACACATCGTGCGTAGTTTTATCTACTTAACAAACATTTCGAATCTTTTGGTTTAAGGGAAAATATGAATAACTGGTGAAAGGAGGTAATGCAATGATTTTTTTTACCCAAGATGGACCAGCTGCTCACAACAGCACAGGTCTTATAGAACTCGTCCCTATCTCCATCCTGTAACACACTGCATGTCAATTTGTTTTCATTTTTTATTCCTGCAGCGCCAGGTTCATGCTTAAGGAAGGCAATTTTTGGTGAATGATCAAACTGAATTCAAGAGAAAGAAACCAAGCCATGTTTTAACAAAAAAAGTCTGGAGTATTCTTTAGCTCAACAAGTTGTGCATTTTCTTGTATTAAAAATTAAACATTTCAAGCTGAAGAAAAATATATTTAAAATGTATATAAATGAGAGTTAAACTTTATCTTTAGAGAAATAAATAATCAAACCTCTTTTTCCGAGGTCCAACCTCATGTGATCTGGTTCCTCCCTGCTTAACTCAGGTCAATTAAGGATAATCTAGAACCTGGGCAACAAAATTATTATTCTAAAGTTAATTCACAGTAATGATCAGTTTACTGTCAGTTGTTGTGAACTAATACCAGCACCTTACTTCGACATGAGCCTCATGAGGTGGACATGGCACCAGGGAACACTTTGATGTCAGACTGATGAGTTAAAAAAAGCCAGAACAGAGTTGAGTGGCTCTATCAAGAGATAGAATTTTACTGATTCATTTTGACATTTTTTATGAAGAAAAAAGAGTGTTCATCAAGTGACCACTTTTTTAAAATTTTTAAACTAACTTGTTGAGGATTTAAAAATCCTTGTATTCACTCGTATTCTTTATTTACAGATTAAATGAAGAGGTTGAGTTTCGCACCCACAAAACACAGCTGTCCAGTTCCAATGCCACCGATATTATTTCTAGTTATGATGTGATAGTTGATGCCACTGACAATGCTCCAACACGGTTTTTGCTGAATGATGTATGTGTTTTTACCAAGAAACCTCTTGTGTCTGGAGCTGCCTTACAAACAGAAGGCCAACTAACTGTTTATAACTATGAAAATGGTCCCTGTTATCGATGCTTATTTCCGAAACCACCACCTCCTAATTCTGTCAAAAATTGTGGTGATGCAGGCGTCCTTGGTACTGGTAAAGATTTATTTTTCATCATCTTTCTCTCTTAAACTCATTCTTCAAGTAATTTGACAATCCTAAGTGTTAGACAAGATTCTGAAGATCTCATTATTCCTATGAGCTCTCTGTTTCTTTACGTTTTCATTCCCAACTGTGTCTAAAGATTTATCCAAGGGTTTCCATGACTTTTATCATGTTATTAGTAAGTGATATTATCTGGACTAGCTCAATGTCATCAAATGTTTTAATGATGAGTGAGATTTTTTACCATTGCAAAGCACCTGTATGAAATTTAGCAGATAGTGGCTAGTGCAGCGGGCCGATAATTGGACTGAGTTAAGCAGAAAGGAACCAACCCACATTTTGGAAAAAATTTAGTTATGAGTGGTTTTGAACTCAGCCACTTCTCTACCATCTATCGCCAAAAATTTAAAGTTTTTGCTTGGGCAAATTTTGCAGAAATTGAACTTGAAGTTCATCTTTTACATTGAGTCTTATGCAGGAGCAAAACTTTAAACCTCTTTTTCTCAGTTCCATCCCGATGTGGCTTGGTTCCTTTCTGTTTAACTTGGTCCAATTGAAATTTATATCAGCACATGCAGTAAGACCCCTAAATGCGATGTGTTGCATGGTTAGGGGAGATGGGACTTTTTCTTATCATATCCACATTGTTTCAGTAATCACCCTGCAGGAGGGACTTTTTAGTTATAGTAAAATGCACTATTTGTGATAAATTTTATGCATCATCCCATGAATCTGATTTCCTATGAGGAAAGACAGTGGTTTTTCTGCCGCGCTATGGAAAAATGCTGTATGAGCATTTGAATGTTGGCAAATTTTCTCTCAGAAAAAATTTATTTTTGAAGAATGTTATGAACAAGTACTTTCCATTGAAATTTTCTGACACTTAAAATCAAATTAAGAACAGAAATCATAAAAATCAGAAGAAAAATATTTATAAAATTTTTTGAAAATTTGTGATTTGTTAAAGGAAATTTGATAACGTCTGAAGATTCATATGGTCTTCTTCCCCGGCATGGCAGTATTCCTGAACTATGTTCAGAACCTTTCAATGATTACAAACCGAACATGTACTTTTTCATGTACACCTCTGTGTTCTTGAAATTGTATGATGAAGTTCCCTCAGTTGAGATATCTATTTATTATCTAAGTTCTGAATCTCTTTTCATTTTAATCTAGTTCCAGGTGTGATAGGTACATTGCAAGCCATGGAAGTAATTAAAATTCTAACGGAGAACAAGGGCGTTCTAAGTGGAAGATTGTTGACTTATGACGGTCTGGATGCATCTTTCAGGACTTTCAAAATCAGAGACAAAAGTAAAACGTGTGCAGTGTGTAGTGAATCACCTACCATTAAAGAACTAATAGACTATGAGCAGTTTTGTGGATCAGCAGCAAATGATAAGGTTTGTTTTATGTAGCAGGTATTTTTTAAAACTCATTCTACCCCTTGATCTCATTAGCTCAAGAATTAACGTCTGTCTGGAGCTGAGTTGTCTGAGCAATTATAGTTTCCGTGCGGTCTTTTCAGAATGATTTTGATAACAATACCGGACAGTTTTTTTAAGTAAATGATCATTATCATATGTATTAGCAGGTGTTCAAACTTATTATCTTTAAAAAAATAAAGAAATGGGTATTTTTTTAATTTTTGAAAAGTTAGGGTTGATCCTGTAACCCATGCTACAAAAAACCCTTGGACACTAAGTTCAAAGCAAATCGATCAACAGCCTACCAAGATACCTTTCCCTGTCCATTTTGAACAACTAACAGCCACTATTTTTTAATGGTTTGACCAATGATCTCAAATTTTATAGAAAAAAATAAAGAGACCGATTGCTTCACCTGCTACCACTGGGTCTTCATGCTTACATTTCAAAGCGGACAATTAGTCTAGCTGAAATGCATATGGGATAGAACTTAGTAAGGAAGCAGAACTGGAGGGTGTATTCAAAGTTCCATGGGGATAAGAAAATCGTATGGACTGGCTTGGCAATCATGCTACTGGACATAAATTTCTGCTTGATAGCCCAGTCACAAGCTAGACCACTGGTCCATCATGTTCAGATGGGGTATTTGGGAAAGAATTGTTCAAACATATTATTTTTAAAAAAATAAAGAAATAGGTGTTTTTTTAATTTTTGAAAGTTTACAAAATTTAAGAAATTGGAAAAATGAAAACAAGACAAATGTATTAGAGTACCCAAATCCTGATAATTTTATTAAAAATTAATATTTTATACAAATTTGTGTGTTAATTGCAACTTATTATCTCCATGCTTGAGTAAACCATGCCTTCAACTTGACAACGCTGCGCTGCCGTGCGTCGAGGAGATTTTTCTCGGGGATGAACCTTCTAAAAAAGTGTGTCATATACGTGTGAATAAAGTATAAAAATTTGAGAAAGATTGCAGAATTGTTGAAAACTTTCGCCTTTGAATATGCCTTATTCAACTTCTATGCATTCTTTTATTTGTGCTACAAAAATTTAGCAGACCTCTATACCAACGAAGCTTGCGTAAATTTATCTTTTAGTCCCTCAAAAATTACTCTTTTGCTTAAAAATCGGAGTTGGTACCGCAGTACCGACGGAGCATTTTTTTATCTTTATATTATTCACCATTAGGAACATCTAAACATTATTGATCTTGTAATTAACTATGAGATGATGCTAGCATGTTTGTTTCCATGGAAAAATTTAGACACCACCTGTTCCAATTTGTCACCTTGATTTTCAGTTGCTCATATCCCACCGCAACGCGACTGTTTTTGTTATCGTTAATCACCCCTGAGTAATTGATTTCTCTGATTTTTAGAACCCTTCTATCAACTTGCTGAATCCTAATGAGAGGATACACGTAGAAAGATTGGCTGAACTGCTGAAGACTGAGTCTGAGAATAACACTTTCATTGACGTGCGTTCTCCTGAAGAATTTGAAATGTGCAGCATATCTAAGTTTGTCAATGTTCCAATAAACAGCTTATTTTTCTATAATACATCTTCGGAGCCACTTTTCACGGATCTGAAGTTGGACACTGAAAAACCTGGTAAGACTGAGTAAATTATTCAATATGCCTCCCTTTTTCATTTTTCATCAACCTTTTTTTTTTCTTGATCTTAAAATCTTATTCTCCACTGAATTTTAAAATGATTAAATTTCACCCCATTAGAATAGGACCATTGCCGCTTTAGGCAAATTTCCTCAACTGAACTCTAAGTTTTTGACTTTCTACCAACATCCGTTGAATCAAAACAAAATTGCCTTCAGATGACGGTGTGCCTACAACATTTGATTCTCATGCTGGCAGTAATGAAGACCATACCTAAAATTCTGGAAAAGTGATGGATGCATTGGTCAAAATTCATCAAGCAACTTTGCTTAGTTTTTAACCTCAGTAGAGCGTTTCTCTCCTGCGGATTGCAACCCTGCCGTTGTGGTTGAAAAAACGATCAAATTCACCCGTTGAAATTTGCTTCGCATTTTCATAGAATGATTTCTTCACCCTGAAACAATTTGAAAAAAAAGCTCTCCAAGTTTTATTAATTTTTTCTCATATTTTTGTTTGTTTTCTTTTTTGCAGTGTATGTTATTTGCAGGCGAGGAAACGATTCACAAAGAGCAGTCCAAATTTTGAAGAACCTGTATTCCCATTTAGAAATCAAGGATGTAATTGGAGGTTTGCATTCTTGGGCAAAAAGAGTTGACAATGATTTTCCAGTTTATTAAGAATCCTCTTAATTCGACTTTACACGGAAAAAAAAAATTGCTGATTCAACAATTTAATTGCTAAAAACAGGGAGTGCAATGTTTCAACGCAGATTTTACAACAAAAAAATGCTACTTTAACCACCCGCGTGGTTCAATTTGTTTACAATGTAGTTAAAGTAGCATTTTTTTGTTGTAAAATCTGCGTTGAAACATTGCACTCACTGTTTTTAGCAATTGAATCGTTGAATCAGCAATTTTTTTCCCGTGTAATTCCCATATCTTCAATTTATGGTTCTCATAACTCTAGTCCAAAAAACAAAATTGGCTACGCTTAAAAGGTATGTTTTGATGCTGAGTAGATTTTTAGAGTTGATTGTGAAAATCAGGGGTGCAGAATATGTCCGATCATGTGCTCACCTGGGCGCGTGAATATGTGGAAAAGCCCCAAAAATGTGGAAGGAGGGAACATTTTGAAGGGCCAAAAGTGGAAAATCAAAGGAAACAGAGGAAAAACGTCATCATTTTTAAAATTGGTGGGAAATTTTGTTGAAAACTGATGAGACAAATGTGGGAAGCCATCTGGCAGGCTCGTGAAAATGTGGAAGCTCAGAAGATTCTGCACCCCGTGTGAAAATGACCTCCGTTTTTTTTATCCTCCAAAAATGGGGCTCTCTACTTTCAAATAATGAACTGAAAAAGTGGGTGCCACTGCTACTGGACCACTGTTGAAGAACAGTCCTAGTGTGGCTACCTTGTGTAATATTTTTGTTCAGTAAATAATCAAGGATATTGATTAAGATTAAATATTTGTGCCTGGAAACCTTTACAATTTCTTTGTTATTCCAAGTGCATTTCGAGGTTCAGGTTGTCATCTTCAGTGATATAATTTTATGTATGCTTACGATCTTGCAGAACTCTTCAAAATTTTAAAAAATGTTATTATTAAATGCACATTCTGGCTCTCAAGAATGCAAGTGATCGTTTCAAGGCAGAATGTGTATTTAATAATTGCCCCGTATATGATTGTTTTTTAACATTTTTAGTAAGTTTTTTTTCAAAGTTTGACATGTATGCCGAGATCGCGAGCATACTTGAAATTATATTGCTGAGGATGTCATCGAGAACCTCAAAATGCATTCAGAATAACAAAGAAATTGCTAAGCACTCCAGCACAAATATTTAATCTTAATCAATATCATAGATTGCAAAATGCAAATCAAAAGATAATTAAGGATAGTGTTGCATAGATTTGCTTCATGTAAACCTGTTGTTTTATAAAAGAATGTTTAAGTGAGTTCTCTTTTTTATAAAATTTTCTGTTTACGTATTTCTTATAAGTTTTTTTTCTCCTAATAAATACCCCAGAAAACATCTGATACTCCCCAGTTTTACTGTAGAACAAATTTGAAGCTCAGTTTTCTATTAGCAAGCTAATTTTAGTTGCATTAGGAGAAAATGTAACAGCAGTAAAGATAAATTAACTTACAGACATCTTTTTAAATTATCACTCAATGTTTTTTTGTTATTAGTTGCTACAACAAATCATGGGAATTATCATCAACAAATTGAACTTATCTAAAATGAATCTGCAGCATTCAGTAGATGTGGATATCTATAAGTAGGGGCTAGTACACCAGTTAGTCAGCATTTAATTGTTTCGATCAACTGACCAGGCAACAACTGTTAAGTTTTTTGCACTTTGCCTGTTTATCAAATGCGCTCTATTCCTATCCCAGAATTCGCGTACAAAATTCACTTGCAGTTGCACAAAAGGACATCTAATGTCACATTGCTACTTTTCATGTGTTAGAAATTGGGTTTATTCAGCTGGGATTCAGTGGTTTGATAGTGGTCAAGATACATATCACTGCATAGTGAGCACTTATCAATAATACTGAAATATTTTAGCTTGGAATTTAAGGAAAAAAGCAGTGTTAAGATTGAAAATTGCAGAAGGCTTTTACACGTTGAGCGTTGCAAAACAAAAAAATTAGCCTTGACTTTTCATTTCTCCATACATGATCGTGGGAGTAGCTTCACTTGCAAATAACAGCATCTTAATTTTTTAAAAAAAAATATCATCTTAATTTTTCAAAGAGCATCATCTTAATTCTTTTTAAAAGACGTCATCTTAATGTTAAAGCAAATGTCCAATTTTCTTCCAAAATGGTATTATATTTTTTAAAAAAAGTCATCTTTTTCAACAGAAATGGCACTTCAAGTGTCAATGCACAGGACCTTTGAATCACCCCTTTCTAATTCCAGGCCGTACAGCTTTGCTTTAACTACTCATGAAGCAGCCATTTATCAAAGGCAAAGCACGGTCTAGTAGTTAGTGAACACCCAAATAGTCTCAAAAAAATATTACGTTGCTTCGTTTATCATGAGAAGGCGATACACATAGGCAGTTGTGTTCAACAATGCACCCTCAAAGTGGTTGTGGCTGTACATGAAAAGAAAACAGCAAGATGTTTAAACCAATGTAGTTTTTAATAAATAATTCAAATCAGTCAAACAGTAAATTTGCAAATCATACAAAAAACCTGTTAACTGTGTAAAAAAGTATGAAAATTATGTGAGAACTTGCTCACGAAACAAAAAAAAAAATTCAATTCCTTTCAAAGTTCTAATCATTGATCAATTGACGTTTCAAAACTGGGAAACTAATTGTATGTAAAAAGTAGAAATTCGAGATCATTTGATGAAAAACTGAAGCTATACTAGCATATAAAATCCGATTGGTTGCAGGCAGAGAAGTGAATTAAGGACGGCATATCAATGGCCAAAGCGCGAAACTATGTATCTTGTTTGCAACGTTGTAGACTTCTCCTCATATTTTTAATTTTTCTTCCGTGAACTCCTTGACATAATTTTGAAAACTCCCTTAATTTTTCTTCTCTATTAGTGAAATATTCTGTGTACATTTCAAGCTGTAAAGTTTACTTATTTCTCTTTAAACAAATATAGTAGTAGTAGAAATTTTAAGACACTGCAATCGAGATATGTGGTTTTGCACGAAGGCCATTGATATGCTTCGTGTCTACTTTCATTGTGCTGTTTCTTGGTTAAATAGAACATAAATTTGAAATGACTTAGATTGTTCATCATCCAGGAGATGAAAGAATGGAAAGTCACGACTTGAGTGTTCAAACTTATTGCTTGACCTTGCTTTGTATAGGAAGAAATAGTTTGAATTCGGCTGGCAATTCATCCTCTGAATATAGTCGATCTGAAAAGTAAACGCGTCTAATTCTACAATTGGCATGAATTTGAACACGTAAAGTTTCCATATAAGTCGTTCCATAGGCACGTCTGGTGAAGTCAGCCAGATTAAACTGAATTTGATTCCAGCCATCATCTAGTCTCATTGGCATAGTGCAAATAAAAGGTTTCACTCTGGTTGTTGATTGATAGTTACTGGCCCGAAATCTCCGCCTCACATTTTTGTCGTCAAGAACCTGCAAGAGAGAGAGAGCAATCATTGTACGTCAGGAGTCTAAAAGAAATAATAAACTAAGATTTTACCTACAATAGAAGATGTACCTTCTCTTTTGAGTACTCGTTATTGTAGGGGGATTCTTCATTCCGACAGCCATGACTTGCTAATTTGTTTGTTACACTGCTCAGCATGTGGCTTAACAGCTCAAAGAAAAATTTTAAATCAGTATTCATAGAAAAATATTGAATCCCAAAATGGAATTGTGGTAAAACCGGCTCACGGATCAAGGGGGAATAAACCTGTAAGTCATCAAACTGCATATTGGCAATATGAGGAAGCCCTCAGTTGCAAAAGCTGAAAATAATACTGTCAAGTCAATGCGGATTGTGGGGTAAAAACACAGAGAGAGTTGATCTGATTTATTCGCTTAGGTTGTTTTACTAATGCATGAATCCACAACAACGTACAAATTGGCGGAGATAGAATGACGAAAAGATAGTGAACTTTTACCTGAATTTCAAAGGTGAAGTACTTCTTTAAATTCTTAATAATCATGACAAGAAACGGTAACTTGATTCCAAGAGTCTTCCTGGGGTCTGCTGGACAAGTGATGTACGCGGTGCTCACATTATTACCCATTATTTCCAATACTAAAGACTGAATATCGTTGTCGGTAATCCTTTTGATGTGACCGTTTCGCACTTTCTTGTCCCATATCTGAAGAGGTTTACTACCTATGCTGTATAGAATTGATAAAAAACCACTTTGAAAAGTATTTTTAAACATTTTCTAAGATTACTTTAGAAGTTTGGCTAGCTAATTAAACTATTTACACGGTCACTAACCAAACTTTCATGGATACGGTTTGTTTATACGAATAGCACCAATAAACGGGCGGTTGGGAACCGGTGTTGTGTTTTTGTTTCATGGCACTGTTGCCAGATTCGTATTTTTCTTTCAAATGAAAATGTAGCTTTCAAAATATATCGATCTACTTGGCACCGTCATTGCCTGCCTTTGTCAGCCGCCATTTTCCATCCCGCTTACCTCATTTTGGCGGCTTATTTTCCGCATCGTGAGCCGGCTTTGGGATTTTTTAAAGTTTAAGAAAATCTTATCCTGCTGATCAGTTCTATTTGCATTGATTGTGTCGTTCAAGACCGCGTCTCCTATCATCATGGGTGACAAGGAAGCTGGTAAGTTGCTTTGCTTCTCTCAGTCTAATCTTGTATCACCTTGCTCCGTGAGCAGAAGGACCTGTTGGGTTTTTGTGCTTTGAGTGAGGGGTTTTTATCGAACTACACCCAAGTAAGGTCAGAATATCTTGGCCTCTTCAGGCTAATTATTTTGCACATTGAGCGCAAAGTATATTCTGCACCATTCGAAGACACTTAGCCACAGAACTTTCTAATTGCTTGTGCATTGTGTGTTGAGGCACAAGTCAAGTATCGTTTACGTCACCACTGATCAATGATGCCATTTGGCCGCACGTATTAACTTGTTGAACGGTGCCGATTCAAAACTTATCAGAGATCGACATTTGTCTTGACATTCAATGCGCAAGCTCTAATCGGGAGGTGGAGGCCACTCAAGGTTTGTCAGCGTCAATAGGGCTTTTTTATCTTCACTGCAGGGAATCATGGAGGATCATGATGAACTCTTCATACTTTTTATTCTGGTCCACTGTCATGATCCTTCACAGTAGAATGCTTGGATCCTTCTTCCGAGATAGGTTGCGTGCAATTCAAACTCAGCCAAATTGCTTTGAAACATAGATTATCTGATAGACGCTATTAGTGCCATGTCACAGTAAAGCAATATATATCGATTTTTTCGCATTGGTGGAATTGAAAGAGTTTATGCCAATGCTATTGTTTGGATCCAATTTGATACAATGGAGAATCCCTATGATGGCATCGCTACCATTAGCGTCTATCCATTGCACTTCATGGATCAAGGTAAAGCCCTTTTGTCTTTTTAGTGGAGCAAGGCTCTATCAATAACCTTGTTGGAACCAATCTATTTCTACTAAACGTTAGGTACCCTTCAAGAACTTTGAAAATCACAGCAACCATCTCTTGATCGCATTTCAATTTTGCAAGAATACCTCCTATTAAGGTGTATTATCGAGTGTGAGGAAGGGGAAACTCGCACATTGATTCATTGATGATTACCAGCATTTTATTAATTGCGTATTGCTGGCCTGATGAAGGACAACTGACGCATGACATAATGTTCCCACTAAGCACCAACCACTGAGTCAAAGAATGTTTTTTGGTGATTAGTGATGATACCAAATCTTGTAAGTAATGTTATTCTAATATTAGCACCTTTATTATTTGTAGAAACTTTCGACGATGCTGTCGAAGAGCGTGTTATCAATGAAGAATACAAAATCTGGAAGAAAAACACGCCGTTTCTCTATGATCTCGTCATGACCCATGCTCTTGAATGGCCATCTTTAACTGCCCAATGGCTACCAGATGTTACCAGGTACTATTCGAAATTTTAAATCTTAGCATACTTTTTAAGGGTTCGATTGTCCAGATATAGAAGCATTTTAACCAAGCATTTTTTTAGATTCTCTCCATAGCTATGAGTGTCTCACTTGACCGATATTATTTGAAAGGACAGGGATGTAGACAATCTTTAGCCTTCCCATTCTGAAAATCCTTTTCCTTACCACAGCCCTGGATACTTCAAAAACTAGAAAATCAACATCATTCCTCCATAGAATTTTTTTCGTACAAAATTGAAGATGAAACACTACAGTTAATACTTACTGTTGTTAAGTAGTTTTTCATTAAGTAGAAAAAAAAAAACATAGTAGGAAGTCTGCAATGTTGCAAACAGAGATACATAGTTTGAGAGTTTCATCGTTGATATAGGTTTCAGCTTTAGACCTTCAGTAAAGTCCCTTAGCACCGCAAAGTGCACCTTAAGTTTTTCTATCGTTCTTCCCTCATCACTAAGTATGTACAGCTACATTACTCTCTTTCCTCTCCTGCTGGCGCTATCAGTATTATGAGGAATAAGAGAGGCATTGTGCCCTCTGAATGTATTCTAGTTTTGCTTTAGAACTATCTATCATAGGCTAGTAAATTTCTTGCATATTTTTCATTACGTGTAGAACCTCGGTCAAAATTTTGTTTTTATGTTACAGGCCAGAAGGCAAGGATTACTCTATTCACCGCTTAATATTGGGCACTCACACTTCCGATGAACAAAATCATTTATTGATTGCCAGTGTTCAGCTTCCAAGCGAAGATGCCCAATTCGATGCCTCCCATTATGACAATGAGAAAGGAGGTAAGCTTTCTCTGCTAGAAAAGCACTAGCTGCTAGCAGATTTTATTTTCCTAAATGGTATGAGATTGATTTTGATTTGTTAATCATTATCCATATAAATAAAAAAACAGAAACCTAACACGTTACAAGATTACTTGTTTGGAGCTTTAACTGGTAGTTGTTAACATTTAAATTACTTAAATTCCCGATAATTTTACTAAGAATATTATCTATTAGTCATATTGATGACCACACTATCGTATTTTTGTGGAAAAACCCTTGTTTTCAGTCTTATTTCAAAGAGGCTTTCCAAAATGAGCTAATAACAGCTCCTAAAATATGAGTCTGAGTCTAGAACCTGAATCTGCAATTAATCTGTCGGAAAAGAGTGATGCAAATATTTGAAGTAAACCCACATTAATAAGAACGGAAATTAGTCATAAATCGCATAATTTGTTACACCAAGTGATTATGATGATTCAACTCATCCTTTTCACATGTTTGCTCATTGACACATTTATTTCTAATTTTACATTTTTGTTTTGATCAGAGTTTGGTGGATTTGGTTCAGTCAGTGGAAAAATTGAAATTGAAATAAAAATAAATCATGAAGGAGAAGTCAACCGTGCAAGATATATGCCCCAGAACCCTTGTGTCATTGCCACAAAAACTCCATCCAGCGATGTTCTTGTTTTTGATTACACAAAGCATCCCTCCAAACCTGACCCAAATGGTGAATGTCAACCTGATCTGAGGTAAGTAAGGAAAGGTTTTTATCCAATAGAATGCTCATCAAAATTTTTTTTAGGTTTAACTGGTTGGACACAATAAGAACTTCCTGAAATGGAGTTATGCGATTGGTATTTGTATCACACGTTTTCTCTGTTCTCTATGTATCAAGTCAGAAAAGTGAAAAATGACTTTGCTGGAGGCACACAGAAGTCAAAGGATGCAACTTACCAATTGCGCACATTTATTCCAGCCTAGTTTTGTCTTGTCCCACCAACAAGAAATCCAAATGAATTATTTAAATGAATTGATTGATTGCACAAACTGCTTAAGCAAATTTCCAAAACTTAGGACACTGACATTGGCAAGTTACTTTTTACCTCACGGTTAAAAAAAAAAAAAAAAAACATTGGCAAGTTAATCATATTAGTCAGGGTACCAATTCCTTGATCACAAAAAGTTGAGTGAAGAATTTTATGCAGGAAATTTGATGCAAGCTTTTACTGTCCCCGCATGTTTCTCCCAAGTGTGATTAAACCTCTCATATCGTCGCTCGCCCTCAACAGATTTAACTGCCATCTTTGATTTGGTTGGCATCTTTTGGACGAGAGAGAATTTCTGACCTTTTACATGAGTTCTCTTACAAAAATTGCACTGTAACGATACCTCACATGACACTACAGATTTTTAAATACCACAATTCCATATGATCACATTATAGACACCATTTCGAATTTTACATATTTTAAGGGGGCTTCTTGGGTTGAGTGATGGTAAAGTTTTTGCAAATGCTCAGTAGGACTTAATGTTAACATTAAAACAAGAAAAGCTTGCTCAATAATTTGTTCCAGGTACAACTTAAGGAAGAGAGGTTGTAAATGTGATGGAAGAATGTGTAATCTGTATAGTAATTTTCCTCTTTTACAAGCTTATAATGACTTTCTATTTTTTTAAATATTTCAGATTGAGAGGTCACCAAAAAGAAGGTTACGGTCTGTCGTGGAATCCAAATCTTAATGGATACTTACTCAGTGCTTCAGATGATCACACAATTTGTTTGTGGGATATAAATGCAACTCCCAAAGATAACCGAATAATCGATGCAAAAACCATTTTTACCGGTCATACAGCTGTTGTTGAGGTAATAAGTCTCCTCAAAACCATGTCTTTAATTATTTGTCGACTATTCACTACATGTTCGCCCAAGGGTGCAGGAAATGAAGAATAACGCTCAGATTTTTCCCCTAAAACTAAATGCACTGACTTAGTGCCCTCCATCAAATGCAGAGCTGAAAGGAATGAATAAAGTGTAAAAACTCGACTGCTTTTACAAAAAAAGTCCTTTTCGGCAACTGCTTTCGCAAAAAAGTCCTGTAGTGTGCTCCTCTGCTCTAGCTTTTTCAGGATCCCTGCCTCTGAGTTAGTCATGGTTGTACGCTTAGAAATGGATTTTAGAAATCTCTGTTGTGCCAAGCCTATTTTTTGTCCGATTTTGCCATTGGCTACTCTACTGAGTTAGCTTTATCTCTTACGTGCGACAGGCGCATCATCAGTGCTGCAGTCCTATCTTACTCTCCTCACAAACATCTTATTTGGCAGAAACTTATTTTTCTAATGTATCCTCTTACTTTTGAAGCTCATAGAAAATACCTGTAATTCTTTTGTTTCTGAAAAGACAGTAAATTTTGTTTTAAAATTCCTTACAAAACTAATTTTGAAAAAACAGCTTTTCTTGCTAATATCACTTCCTAATTTTTATTCTGACTTGTCTTTCAGTGTGTTACTCTTTCTTTCTTTTTAAACTTCGTTGTTATTGAAAGGAAAGAAAGTTACTGACCACCAACATATCTCTTGAATGATTAAATATTGAAAACTTGATGACCATGATTTAAGAATGAATGGCAATTTTCTCTTTCCTCAAGAGTCTTAGATTCTTTACATTAATGCTTAATTCCCTCTGCAGGATGTGGCGTGGCATTTATTGCACGAGTCATTGTTTGGATCTGTTGCTGATGATCAGAAATTGATGATATGGGACACCAGATCGAACAACACAAGTAAACCTTCTCACACAGTAGATGCTCATACAGCTGAAGTCAATTGTCTATCTTTCAACCCGTACTCTGAATTCATCCTCGCTACTGGTAGCGCAGATAAGGTATGAATTGAAACTTCTTCTTTTCTCCTTATAGTAAATGAGGTTATGCTAAGATTACTGTAACCATTTATATTTTTAATACACCTGCTTTATCTGAACGCTCTATTTGTCAGTCTAGCACTGAAACTCACTGGTAATTTTTCAAATTTCTTGTAGTATGCTGTTTTGGGCGTCTAAATTCAAACTTAGGGCTGTGAGAATAGTTTTACTGTATTCGAGTAGTAATTTGAGATATTCAAAGAAATTTCCATCAGTCACATTTTTCTACAAAATTGATGGAGCGTTGCGCTTCAACTCCATTTGCTAGCTGGGGCAGTGCGTGGCAGACAGCTTTTGTTGGCTCCTACCCAAATCATATTTATCGCCACAGCAATCGGAGAATGCAAATATTTGTCTCTGAGTTTTAGCACTTTCTGGTCCAATGTCGGATATATTTGCCGTGAAAAATAATGCATTTAGGTCGGATGTCGGATACAGTCGCCCAAAATTTTAAACTTCTGCGCAGGCCTAATGTTGGGTATATTCGACTGCTCCAGCAAGTAGCGGCCTCTAGTGGACCCTTTGAAAACCACTGTCTTCGTTGACAACATCGCTGCTACCTTAACCTTGCTTCTCTGTGCTGTGGAAAACTGCCGCGGACCGGAAAGGGTTAGTCACTGTTCAGGATGAAAAAAGTGTAAACTTTAAAGGCCATTATATATTATCCTCAAGATTTGTCAAGATTGAAAATCTTTTCAAGTTGTCAGAAATGTCCAGTCCCATTTTTTGCTCACATAAAGAAGCTGAGGGAAATCTAAAGTAAGAATTCTGCTTTCCATGTTTTAATGGCTTTTGTCATCTGAGGTGTTGTATCTTGTTCTAAAATAGTGTTAATTTGTTTTCAGACTGTTGCACTGTGGGACCTGCGAAATCTAAAACTAAAACTTCACTCCTTCGAATCCCACAAAGACGAAATCTTCCAGGTAAGTGTTTTGCACTCTAATATTTTGCATACAAATCATCCGTTTGTAACTTAGCTTATTTCTGCTGAGTCTTTATTGAGTTAGACACAGGAAACAATTTGAAAATTGTAACTGACACGAATTAGAAAAATAATTTAATTTATAATTGACCAATTCTAAGCAAATTTTTAAGTGTTGAGAAGGTTGATTTTTTTTTTTTTTTGTTTATTTGTCACTGAAATTTACATCGGTACCAGAAACTCTCTACAGTGAAAAGAGGATTATAGAGAGAAAACACTAGAAAGACAATATGGTACTTGAAGCAGGAAAATGGGGGCTATTTGAGAGTAATCGACGACCTAATAAAGATTACGTCAGGGGGGAATCTCAAGACAAGTTAGTGACTCCGGAATTAGCTTGTTGGCATCCACTGGATTTGAGGAGGCTGATGTTTTAGGTATTGCCAACAAAGCAAAATTTCTTCAAGCTTTAACTAGGCCACAACTTTTGGTTTGTCTTGTTGTCTTCATGTTAGCGCAAGGGGGCGAGTAGTATTCTTTTGTTCATTTTTGTAACCTGAGCTCGTGTAGATTTCAACTAGCTGTAGGAATAACTGTCATAAAACTCGTCTGCGCATGGAAATTGTTTGGCATGCATGGTAGTGCTTTTCATTGTTTTTATTAAAAAACTCACTAGTGCAGGCAACTTAGTATCTAAGGACTGAGCTTGAGGATTTGAGTTGTATTTAAATCAAGTCAAAGTATCCTTTTTTAAACACTTGTTTTCTTCATTAGGTCCAATGGTCACCGCATAATGAAACAATCCTTGCATCCAGTGGCACAGACCGAAGGCTCCATGTTTGGGACTTAAGTAAAATTGGTGAAGAACAGTCGGCCGAGGATGCTGAAGATGGACCACCTGAACTGTTGGTGCGTACTCAACTTGTGCCTTTTATATTTGTCGATTCTGATCTATCAATGAATTATCTCAGAGGATCTTCCTCTTGGAGGATTAAGAAAGTAGTATTTCTCAATTTTTTGAAATATTGGCTGATACACTCCTCCTACATAAAATTTGAATCAGAACGATTCTGCTGACCCTAGGTTTTTCAGCAGAACTACACATTTTCAAACATTGGACGCAAAGGTTCTGTTATGTGTAACCTGTTATTGAAGTATTTTATTTTTTCTCATTTGATTCATCATGATGCATATTACAAAAACTTTTGTCAATAGAGCATTTAGTCTTTATTCCCATAATTGGCTCGCCTAACTACTAGAGCTGTTCTATCAAGGATTTTTCGGTTTGATCTCAAAAATTCACTGCGACTAAAATTTGAATTTGATTTATAAGGAAATAATGAAAATATGTGCAATATTTTTTCAGTTTATAATTTTATTAGACTCGTAAAACTAGAGAGGAGGTCAAGGATCATACCTTCATGAAAAAATGTTCATGAGACTTAAAGCCGATGTGTTAAATAAAATCTTGCAGACATTGATTCATTTTTTCTCCAGCCCATCTGTCCATGCATATTGTAAAATTAATCGACCCATATTCTGTATGCGTATGAGTGAAGGTGTTCATTCTTTCAAAGTGGCTGGTTGCGGCTTGTTTGAGTTGTTCCGATACGATTTTTAAAAATGAGCAGTGCCAGTCATGCACTTGCTTTGCCGTCCTATGAGAAGGAATGCAGAAGTGTAATTGCAGCTTTTGATGTACTTAATGTGAAATTAAAATTAGGTACTGGCCTCACTTGGCTGCCAGTTTGTCTAGTTAATATTGTCAGAATGGCCTGGATACCATGGCTGAATGCTACAAATTCCATCAAACGCAGTGGAAATTTCAAATGCGATTAATTGTCCAACTCTGCCATGATAAAAAAATAACTGGTTGGTAAACCTGCAAGGCAACAAAAAAGGAGAAAAGTGCAAATGGAGATGAAGCATCTCAAACTGAATAGTTAATTTCTGCACATTGAAAATTTGACCAAATTTTACAAATAGGAACCACTATTCCCAGCTCTCCCCAGGAGCAATGTATGTGCCATTGGTTTTCATATGGAAATAAGTGCTTTTACAAATGAGTGAGATATTAGTTCTAATGAGCCTGTTGCAAACTTTTGCTAGAGCAAAAATAAGAGTTGTTCCTTATAGATAATGTCTCAAAAATCATGATGTGCGCATCGGCAAACTCTGAAATGCACTCCTAACTTCACAATCTGTGTAAGAAATTAGCGTTTTTTTAAGCTTCCCGCTTCAAAAAGGATACTACAGCAGAAATGAACATTTTGTTAGAGGAGTCGTTCCATTCAATCCTTGCTCAACATGGCCGACACTTCAGCTCGCAAGTTGAGAAGAGCACGAGGTCAATCAAGGCAGATATCTATCAACGCGAGAAAATGTGAATGTAAACACGCCGATTGTTATCAGGTGGTTAAAATCATCGTCCCGTCACATGCTCACATGTGTTTTGGCGGATTGGCGTCGGCTATGTTGAATATTGCGTAGTGTCCTTGTGAGCAGGGATTGGATAGAATAACTCCTCTAACGAAATGTTCACCTGTGCTGTGGTATCGTTATTGAAGCAGGAAGCTCGTAAAAACGCAAATTTCTAATTCAAATTGTGAAGTAAAGAGTGCATTTCAGACTTTGCCAATGCGCTCATCATCATTTTTGAGACACTTTTTATGAGAAAAACCTCTTATTTTTGCTCCAGCAAAAGTTTGCAACAGGCCCATTGCAAAATAGAGTCCAATTGATCCGTTGCCTGTAGGGTTGGAATTCAAGTAACATTGATTCAAGGATCTGCAGAGGTAGATCATTTTTCAGAAAGACTGTCATCATCGATCAATCTATAGAGATTCAAATTAAACATAGATCTTCATTAAATGTTTTTTAAAAAGAATTTTTTTCAATATCTGCAGTTACAAAGCATAGCCAAGATCATCTTGTTCCTTTAATTGTTTTTCAATCATCTCATTACCTACCCAAACTGACTTACTGTCAGCAATGAAGGTAATTCTAATTATAATTCTTTTTTTTTTTGTTGACCAGTTTATTCACGGAGGGCACACAGCCAAAATTTCAGACTTCTCTTGGAATCCTAATGAGCCTTGGGTCATCTGTTCCGTATCAGAGGATAATATTATGCAGGTAAGAAACTGTTACTGCAATGAAAGGTTTTTTTCCTGTATTAAAGGAAATCTAATATGTGACTCATCTTGCTTTTCAGCCACTGTAATTTATGGCGATTGGCACGTACGTCACATATTAATTAACCAAAATCTAGCAGAAAGAAACCAATCTGCATCAAAGCCAGACCCAACTACCAGATCCCCCCTCCTCTTCTCTTATGCGTGTATTATATTTTGCAAATTGTCCTTGAAAGTGGATTTTGCTGTTTTAAATTTGGATTGGGCTGAACAGTTGTTTTCTCAGTTCTTTAGCTTGAAAAAGTGGACAAGATTACAAACAGTTATTTTCGTAATTCAAATCTAGCTTGGAAAAGAGGACAACATTATAAAGTAACTTAAACTGGAAAAAAATTAGACTTGCTTAACTCTACCTCAAGTGTAGAGGGATTTTAATACCTTCAAAAATTGTTTTAACACCTGTTTGTCCCCCCCCCCCCTCCAAATGAAACTGAAAATTCGGAACTTTGGATTTTGTGGCACCTATGTAAGAATGAAATAGAAGGCTATCCCCTAAATTTTACAGTTTCCTTTGATCTAGGATCAATTGAATCGTGCCGTGCAAAAACTGCCGTGTCCGTTTTCCAGGTCTAAGCTTTTGTGTGTTAATAATACTTTTCAAGAGGTGAGCATGAAAGTGGTGCAAGGACTTGTTCTGATACTGAGATGACCTAAAGTGAGTATCAACACCATTTACATGGTTGCGTCTACTGAGAAGTATTATCAACTCAAAAACATTCGAGACTGGAAGAATGGACATTAGCAGTTTTTGCACAACATAATTCAATTAAGGAAAAAACAAAAGCCAATGATAACCCTGCCTTCTCACTCTTTCTTGCTGAGATGTGGGTAAATTGAATGAGCCCCATGATCTGCCTTTCATCATTTCATATTTTGATTTTTCTTTCAGGTTTGGCAAATGGCTGAAAATATCTACAATGATGAAGACCCTGAAACACCTGCCTCAGAGCTTGAAGCTGGCACTTCTTAAACAATTAAATTTTCTTTTACTGTTCTTAATGACCTCGTTATTTTCATGTATCCTTAGGAGATTTATCCATTCCTTATTTTTCAACCTTTTTTTTTACAAATACATATTGCTCCACTTTAAAGCAACCCCTAAAAAAATGTGTCCCCTGTCATCCTGAATTTTTAAATCATTCAACTAGTGTTAAACTGTGTTAAGTCCTAATTTCGAATGTGTTTTATATCTTTCCTACAAAATATACTTCATTAGTTATTTTGTCACTCCGTTAGTTTTCTCTACCTCCTAAAATCTTCAAAAGAAAAAAAAAGCGGAAAGAAGAGGGGATCAATCTCAATATGGACCCATCAACCCAAAAATTGTGTTCTGAAAAGTTCTCCTCTCAGCATGCTGCTTTACGTATTTGTCTGTAGAATTTTATTGAGAATTCTTCAAAATAATGTTGAAAGAATGTTCCGAGGAAACATCACTTATCATTTTCACTTTCTAATGGGATTGTTAAGGTGAAACTACAGCAGTGCGTAGTAAGAAATTTCTCTGCGCAGGGAGCGCCACTGCTGTGTTTTGATTTTTTGGTCCACGCTATTAGAGTCTGTACAGCTCTACGTGAGTCCTCGAGCTTTTATGAAAGTGAAAGGAATTTCTGTTTAAATCAAAGAGTATTCTAGCCATAACGTTCTTCTTCCAATTGACACTTAAAACGACGTGAAAAGTAATTTCTGAAGCCTTGAAACTTGATCCCAGGAAAAAGTAGGGTTAAGCATGATGACCTTGATGCAACCAATCGCGATTGATCGCTCTCAACAGTTGCAGATACCTCTCTCCCTCCGTTAGCTGTCTCTCTCGCACTTACAGATGTACCACAAAAGAAACTGGGATCAAGTTATAGCTTTCATTATTTAACTTTTAAAGCTCGCGTCTGTTCCTAAGGATTCCAGATGTATGCTGCTAGAACTTAAGAGTCTTAGAATTTAAAATATCTATTGTGTTATTTAAATAATCACTGATTTCGGAGTCGGATTTTAGCAGCGCCATGTGGTGGATTTTTTTCGGAACCACAGCTGAAGATTCACCTTAACTTGATATGCCCTTTTTGAGTTATTTCAGTACGTCTCAGTCATATTTGTGTAGAAACACCTGACATCATGCATATCAATGGTGAAACTTACGGACCACATATTTCGTTTGCAGGGTAGAGCAGGAAGTCTGCACTGTTGCAAATCGAGGTTACAAGGTTTGAGAGTTTCACCAATGATATGACATGCAGATATCAGGGAATTTTCTAAAAACGTTCAAAAACACTTGTATGCGAAGGGAAACTAAAGGTATATATGTTGTCGCTCTACTGAGCCAGTGATTGTAGTCCCTAATGGCAAAATGGAGTCTAGATTGGGTGACTTTAACCAGACCAGAATTGGACTGCATTATGTAATATGGAACTGAAGTTTCTGGCTCATACCTGAAAATACCTGTCGAGTATCGACACAAGGAAACTAACGGCACATATTTTGCGACTAAAATGAGCTAGAAATGGTAGTTCTCAATTGCCAAATGTAGTCCTCTTAGCCTGACTGCATTTCACATTGCCCAATTTCCATTGTTCTTTCGTTTTTTACAAAACTCAACAAAGTATCGCTTTGGCACATTCTCTAAGTTTTCCTCAAGTTATGAAAAATACATATGCTGACAAAACTTCAAGTCAGAATATTGCTTTCTCCTGAAAAAACATGAAAAAAAATTAAGCAATGTCTGATGTAATTTAGCGAACTATTGCTAAATCTGTCTCATTAGTTCACTGATTAAAAAATTTACACAGGAATTTAAAGGAAAAGAGCCACTGACAAAAGAAAACTTCAAATAATTTGAGACTATGACAAATCTAGACACCATTTACAAATGAGAACTTTTAACGTTTAAGAACTGACCAAATAGGAAAAGAATGTTGAGTGAACTAAAGTTATTAAAAAACTTTATTGATAAAAATGTGACATTATAAAATTATACAGATTCCTGAACAGGCGGTTCATAATCGTCAGGTCGGTCAACTTTTTCACCAGATTCCGTAGTAATGGTCGTACCTTGGCCCTCTCCGTGGAGTTCAAGAAGTTTTGTCAAGTCAAAACGAGGTTTCTTCAATACTTTCACCTGGAACAAATAGGAAATATTAAAAATTGTCTTAGAATCGGAGTTGCCGACTGTCTGGGAAAGTCGGGGAATTTACGATGACCGGGAAAAGTTAAAAATGAAAATTGGGATTTTGAAGATCAATAAATTATGGCAACTATGTAGAATGCATTTCCCAGTGTTAGTGATCATTCTCCCCATGTTGACATTCATATAGAGCATACGAAATACTACATTAAAACGATTTACAACGATTCAGGTAAATTTGATTATCAACAGATACCCATGCTGATGTATCTCACAAGGAAAGATCACATGGTGTTAGATTTCGATTTTGGGGAGAGTGTGGCTAAAGTTTCTATTAGCAAAATCATAGGATCCTTCTTTTGACGTGTTTGAGAATGGGCTCTAGAACTGGAAAAAAAAACCTGGGAAAAATGCCACCGACGGAGGAGGCAAACTGATGAATATGTAGCTTCAGCGCCGCAATAGTCCGAGTGCCAAGAGCGCTGCATGCTGGCCAATACATCCTGGGTTCAATCCCCAGCATCTCATCATGACATTTAGTCCTCCCTGTGATGTTTTGTTTTCATTCACCCTTACTTGCATCCAACCGTACACATGACTATCTTTTCCCAGATATTTATACATGATGAGCAAGGATTATCTATTATAATCATTATTAATTAAATGAGCACTGTACAGCTTTTCAAGAACGATGTGATACAGGTAAAGTTCTTCCTTATTATCATTGTTCGTTTGTTAGTTATCTTTTTCTTTCTATTTTCTCCCTTTAGCACTCTAATTGATCACATGCTATTTCACATACATACTAGTACGTAATAACAAATGTAATAGATAATCATCATTCATTATATATACATAACCAGGAAAATATGGTGCATAGCACAGTTTTGGAAGAAAGAAAGAAAATCAGAGAGAGGATTAAAAATTAGGATGAGACACTGGGGATTGAATCCAGGACCTGTTGGCCTTCCTTGATGAAATTAACAATTCTATCAATAAATCTTAACTGATTTACCAAGCGATGAGACAAATGAGAAAAACATCTGCATCTTAAGAACATCAGTCGTTAGCAACTTCGTGCTTTTATCTCACTTGATGCTAAAAACCTAATAATGCAATGGGACTGGAAAATATATCCAAGATCTTCAATTCCATCTTATCCTGACGTCGTTCACATGAGGAAATGGATAGGACTGGAGAGAAAATCTATGGCTGAAGAGCAAAATCACAGTTCTCCATTGCGGTGTTCCAAAATTTCTGCTATTATTTTATTTTTTGAAGGGAAACAGGTCAACTTGATGGCTTCAAATTTATACAGAGTATTTTTCTGACAGAGAAGAAATGTTAAGTTAATTTTCAAGAAATTATGTTGACTATTTCTCCGAAGGAAAAATGAGGTATCACGGGAAGTATGTATATTCACAAACGAAGACACATGATTTTGCTCTTTAGTCATCAAAATTCTTCTCATGATTAGCTGAATTTATGACTTAACAATGGACCACTGGACAAGGTACGAATTTAAACAATCTGATACATGTTTCTTAACAAGAATTTCACGTAGAACACGATTCGCGCAACGAAAATGACTGAAACTAATTCCTAACGAAGATATTAACGTTTTTATTTCACATTCGTTTCGAGGAATTTGAACTGCCCGCTCACAAGAAACTCAAATCTCTACGTGATTCAAATCGTGCACTACAACGGTTTCAGCAAGCCTCTCAATCGAGCAATATACATTTCCCACCATGTGTTGTGCAGACTATAAGCAATTTGCTATAGCTGAGCCAAAGTGCCAAGATTGAGGTTGCCAGATTTTTATATCGCAGAGACTGTCATGATAACGTTTAGCGCTCGATGTGAATCACGCAGAGCATTGAGTTTTCATGAGCGGATTGTTTGAATTCACGTATCAATAATTATTAATTATCTTCGTAAGGTATTGATTTCGGTAATTTTTGTTGTCCGCATCAAGTTTTACGTGAAATTTTGGTTAAGAAACATGTATCAGAATGCTGAAATTCGTACCTTGTCTAGTGGTCCATTAAGTGACTTTTTGAGATTTTACTGAATGTACACTGTCTGACTCACCTTCCGGATGTACACATCATGCAGAGGATACGTGCTTTGGACTTTCTTTTCAATCTCTTTAGCAATGGAATCAGGGAGGAGCTTGTTGACAACTTCTTTTAATTCAATCGTTGTTACTTCTTGCGCAATCTGATCGACCATTTTTTTCCTAATTTGGCAAACCTGTAAAAAAAAAAACGCTTTGAAAATGTTATAAAGATTATAAAGTCTAGGAGCATGAGACTTGGGAAATAGCTTTTGTTAGAAAAACAAGACACTCCAGTTACTTTCTTCCTTTCAGGGGATTTTAGAACCAAAACTTGAAGTTAGCTGCCATATATCAGCGAGCCACTTTCAACAAAATAGAAAATGGTTGTCAATTTTTTTAATTTTTTTTCTTTCAATTTCTTGCAGATAAGTTTTTGTGGAATGAAAGAATAGAAAATACATGAATTGACTCTTAGCTCAGCTTGCCTTTATTTGGCCATGCAGGTAGACTACTACGGACCCAACTTGTAGCCGGCACTTCCAAGTTTCTCAGAAATGATGTGTCCTATAAAAAAAATCTGAACCTCTTTTGCAGTGCTGAGGAAAAACGCCGGATGAACATTCAAATGCTGCTAAATTTCCACTCGGAAAATATTCATTTTTGAGGAAAGTTAGGAACATTTTCTGGCAAAATTTTCAGACATTTTAGATCAAATTACAAACAAAATTCTCTAAAAATCAAGGGAAAGGTGTTGACCAATTTTTCCTAAAATTTGTGATGTGTCAGTGGAAATTTGACGACGTCTAAAGGCTCATACAATGTTTATCCTTAGTACGGCAGTCCTTGGAATCCTACACATATACAGTGCTTTTTTCCGCAAAAACAAAAAATTTGGCACCTTAACTCATTCAATTTTTTTTTCAAGCGATATAAAAAAAAATTAAGAATTCCTCGGCATTCTTAATTTTATAGTTGTTAAGTTCGCTTAACAACAAGCAGTTTTAAAATCCAGCTCTTTACTTAGGTCAACTATCTTTTTCAAAATGCTGGGGGTATGATTGTTGATTCATACCTAATTTTTGGCTTTGAGTTGGACAATGACCTCAGCTTCATCCTATATCCATCAATAATCTGGAACAGCTAGCTTTTCCTCTGAGGTTTTTGGGAGAAAATTCTTTTATCCAAAAACTTGGTAAATGATAAAGAAAGAAGGTTATTTTTGGTCTGAGCGGCCTAAATAGCTGTGGCATATAGCTGCGGTTTATTGTCCACATTGTCTTGGCATTCTTTCATTCCTCCTGATCGATATCATGCTATTATTTCTCAGACCCATAGAAATAAGTAATTTACGAACCTGCGTGTGTTTGGCGTAGCAGGTTTTCCTTTGGGATAGCTGGTCTTTGTGGGTGAATCCAATGCAGAACACTCTGAGGGTGTATCCGTCTTTAGTCTTAACATCTGTATTGGCTTCAATTAGTGTCTGTTAAAAGAGAAAAGTACATTTTAATACAAGTGTCTCTCTTGGCAAAGGGAGTAGGTAAACAAATATAATTTTACATTATAAACAATAAAACATTCTCTTGCAATGACACTAGTGCTCTGAGGTCTTCATGCATATGAGAATTTGTGAGATGTTCTTTTTTTTAGAGGCTGAAGCTTTCTTTTCTTCAGAACATCTGTCTGGACAAAAAGCAACCGCTCTCAAAACATCCTCAGATTTTTATAATAAATGTCGAGCCATTGAGATATCACTCGGACATGACTTGGCATCCACACCTCTCTCTTGATCTGTTGGGCTCAATGCAACGCCACCTCCCATGATAAGATTGCCTCATCCTTTAAGAGACAGGCCCATAAAATAGCACTGAGTAGACTAGATCTATCAACAAAGGTAATCATAAAAGCAACATGTATCCTATTATTATGCACTGGTCCATCATAGGTGTTTCAAATTATCTTTGAAGTAAATAGGTCCTTCCTGCTTGTCAAGTTGGCAAATGAGGCACTATCCTGCAAAGAAGGGGGAGTGGGGGAGTTGTCTGTCTTCGGTAACTGATGTACCTACGCAGCAGGTTCCTGCTAAAAGGTGAATTTAGGTCAGGGATCACCTGTCAGGCTCCAGGTCAGGGCCTGACCTCATTTCATAATTTGGAGCGCAATAAATTGTCAATGACTGATCTAATCATCAAAATGTTATTGACATTCCATTTTTCTCCCAACGGAAACCAAATTTAACTGAAAATGCTGCTAATTTGAGATGGACAAAGCTTCATTATTTGACAAACTTACTTTGATTTGTGATTTGCTGTATCTGAGTTATAATATCAATAGATACATACCTGCCATTTCTTGACCATGCTACGCAATTTGTCAGTGGTTAAATCCATTCCATGAAAATTTGTCAATACATTCCTACCCTGGACATCTTCTGCAATTAGCTTAAACTTTCTGTAAGATCTTTCAGCATCATTGTCGTTTTGTAAATCAGCTAGCGAGACTTCAAATACTCGTCCCTTTAGACCATCAGCGGCCAATTCTACATTAAAAAAGAATGAGAAAATGATTACTAAATAACACTTTTCATATTTAGGTGAAGAGTATGTGTTTAAATGGGTCTGATGAGTTAGAATTTTGAAATGGAATTTACTTCCAATTGCTGCGAAGATAAGGATGACCATTTGAACAAATGGACATCTTGATGAGTTTCATGGAAAATGCATTAGGTATGTCACGTAAGTTGTTCATTAATTTCTATTAAGGCTAATGCAACCGAGATGAGATTAATGATGATTCAATGGATTTAAGCTGCTCGAACACAGAGGCTGCGCCAACAGAATGTTTAATCCTGTTTACTCCAGTGTATTGCATTTTGTAAGTCCCAGATCGCTGCATTGTTGCCAAATGAATGCATTCACATTTGAGTGAAGGAGTAGGGCTGAAAAATTCAGACTTATAACAAAATCTAGACCAAGCATTATGATCTTTAGGTAAGATGATAGCTAGGTAGCCAAGATTGCATGTAGTACCATCACATTTGAGGAATCAGAAGCACCATCACACCATCAGGCAAAATGGACACGCGGTCGCATTTTCACAATAGGCATCATGCAGTACTACATGAATACCAGGTGTTAGCATTTCACTTGCAGCGGCGTCTTTGTCCTCCTAGCTGTCTTACCTCACCCACCCAAAGTCAAGCCTTACACCATGTTCTGATTGTGTTGAAAGTCTATATTAAAAATTGAACAACAATGTTGAGGACTGTCAAACGCTTCCGATAGAAGACACAGCTTCCCAAGTATGCTCCTCTCCTTCAATAGAGAAGCGCTGGGAGTGAACCTTCTGTTGGCATTAGCGTACATATTTTGTGGCCACACAAGGCATAAAATTATACGGTCAGATTTCCGTGAAACAATCCTAATTTTTCAGGGGATCCGACAGATAATATAAAGTCCTCAAACTAAGGCCCTCAACAACAATGGATACAGGTCGGCAACACTTAAAAATAATTGAAAAAGGAAATATTTTTTACATGTGTAGAGGCACCTCAAAAGAGTCACTTCAATGTTAGTTCATTTCTCTCTAATTCAACTTAGGGATACATAATTTTGAGTGATCAACATATTGTGCAGTAAATTGATTGGTTAAGGACCTAAACAAAAATGATAACAGGCCAAAATTCTCAAGAATAAGAGAAAAAGGGAATTTTTCATGTTTGATGAAGCACATCAAAAGAAGTCATTTCCGTTCAATCTGATTAGGAAATAGAAATCACATAAAATCAGATGACCAAAATGGGGTGAATAATATTACTCTCCCCAAAAAAGTACTTACTTGTTCCGACAGTCCTGTTGACTAAGGTTTTGCCTATTTGGCGTGTAGTGAACATGGAGGGTGCCTTGACATCGTACCAATCTTTGCGAGTGAATGGGTCAACACTAAAGCAGAAATCAAAATTTAAAATTTGTAGTTTTTGACTGAGAGTGAGGTATCAAGAGAATGCTATCTTGAATATGATCGTGGTACATGCAATATGGGTTTTCATCATTCAACACTTTAGTTCCACTCCAGTAACTCACCGCCTTAAGAGTTTATTTACTTCAACATGGAATCATGACCATATCAACTGTAACTGTGCAGAAATATTTCAGGGAAGTTGTTGATAAGCTGAAAACTTGGATTCCTCTTCACTCTTCCCTGCGTTGATGCTTAGAGGGTTGTAACTGGCTTAACTCTCAGAGTAAAATATCTTTCATTCCACCTAAGGTAATACAGCTGTGTAGATCTGACTCAATCAGTCCAGCTTGTCTCAGGCTTTAAGCTGAAAATTTTGTCTCTTTGTCAAATTAATATTGTAAAGGAGAAATAACAATATCTTTACAATTCTACTGATAGATTTTCATAAACCTTCGTTGGAATCTCACATAACCTTAAAGTAATGGTCTGTTCGGAGATGATGGTGGGTCTATACTCCGGCCACTCCTTCCTTATTACAATTGCAGCGTGTCCTCATATGCTAGTAGAATGATCATGAATATACTATTTTAACCAAATTGAAAACTGCAGTTTCGGTGCATTCACTAGTAGAGAAAACTGCAAAAAATGGAGGCAGAATGATGGGTTGAGAGTGCCTCGCAGGTCGCAGTGATTGTTCACATCTGGGTGGTTTCTCACTGCTATAGCATTCGCAGTCACATTTCTGAGTCTTGGTGTTAACCGCACGTTGTCCCTTTTTTCAGAAAAAGGGCATGCTCGGAAAACTGACCCATTATTTATCAACTTATCCTCAGTAGATGTCGGAGGCAAGTTCTAACCTATCGAGCCAAGAAAGTTAATCAGGTGCGGGCTTAAATTAAGATAAAGGTAAGTTACTTACATCTTCTTCTTGGCACCCTTCTTTCCACTTTTGGTTAAACCTTTATTTTTGCCAACTGCCATGATTATTGTCAAAAGGAGGGCTTGGAAAATAACAATTGCACGTGGAACCTCGCGGAGGGAAGATAACGGAAGAGAGGTTAGAGAAAAGTTTGTTTACACTGTTACGCACAGTATGACGGTATTACGGTACAGTATGACGTCATTACCTACTCAAAATCCGAAATTTAAATCATGGAAAATGAGCCTGTAAAGTTCGATGATTTTGCGTGGTAACCGAAGTAAAATGTAATTTTAAAAAAATTTTGAAGTATGACTTGTTTTCTATTTAATTAACCAAATCATTTTCGAGAAAATCGACGACATGCATGTTTAGCACCCATCTACGTCATCGACAAAAACCAAGATGCCCGCTGCATCCACCTTGATGTTCTTCTTCACGTTTCTCAGGCTGCGTCGCGCGTTAGTGTTGCATGGTGACAGTGTAATTTACGTGTAAAAATGTCCATCGGAAAGGTAATTTATCTCTTTTTCTCTTCGCAATCCTATATTTATGCTTTTCTGTGTTTGTGATTTTATATTCTCCATTATTCAAAGAGTAATTCTGACCCAATCCGATGGGGTCTCTACCTCTCCGCACTGGAGGCGTCGTGCCTTCATCCTATGATTACCCCAATGTTGACGTCCTCTCCACAAATCTGATTGCGCTTATTTTGGCACATTCTGGTGATTTACGCACCTTTCAACTGTACCACAAATAATCCGCTTTGACAGTGCTGCCTCTGAAAAGCCACGATCATTTATATTTGGTTTCAGTCGAAGTGCCTTACTACGGTTAGATTTCTGGCAAGCGATGGTAGCGAGAATCTCCCGGGCCTGACTCGACTATCACTCCAGGCTTTCTTCAGGAGACAGTTCTATTTCTACCCTCCCAAATTTTTAATTGGATTCCCTGGCTTATCTGGAAGTCTGTGGTCTTGTTTGTTTACTTGCTGTTAAGGCAACTAGTCACTGATCACTCACTTCACTAGACTTGCTACGCAGATGCTCTTTATTCAGAGACACTCAATTTACTCTTACGATCAGCCACTGTAGTAGCCTCTCGTTGAATAGTGCTAGTTATTAGCAATTGCTCAAATTAGCTGCTAAGAGGGTAAATTTGAATCCGTCCAATATCCTTGTGGTTTTGAGAGTCTGCGGTGGAAGTTTATGCAAGTTTAGAGTGCAATGGGAGATCTGCCATCCTTAGTCTGGTAGAGCTGACGCATCGTATATTGAGACAAACGTCAATCTCTGATAACCTCTGAATCAGCACCACTCAACAGGTTAATACATGCAGTTGGATGGCACCAGTGATGAGAGGTGACCTCAACAATACTTGACTTATGTCTCAACACACGATATGTCTGCACTATCTATTCTGAAAGCAATTCCTAAGGTAGTGGACCTTCTCTCGCTCTCTGAAGAAGCATGAATTTATTTGATGTGGACTGGAGTCCACAGGTATCTGACTTATCAATCCTTCTCGTCTTTTTCTATATCCAAGTACAACACTGTTGAATTAGCTCCTGAGAGGCTTAGTAGACACAGATTTAGAAATAGGGGAAACAAGTGATTTGTTGTGGTAAAGACCGTTGTTTCTAAAGTTTTCTGTATATTAGAGCTGCCTGATACTTATCAGGTACATAAGTTCATCGATTTAATAACGACCCTTTTTTCCTTTCAGAATGACGCGCCTGAGAAAGGCTCAGGAAAGCCTGACAAATCCAAGAACATTATGCGAGATGTCCGCATTCGCAAATTGTGTTTAAACATCTGTGTTGGAGAATCTGGTGATAGGCTTACTCGAGCAGCGAAGGTAAGAACTGTTTCATTCCTGATATGCTGCGACACAATTCTGATACTTATCTCACACATGGAATTTCGTCATTTACCTTTGCCTATGGCACTAACGAACTAGAGCTTACTCACTGCATGTCGGAACAAGAAAATATATCGAAAAACCCTTATTAAATTCTTTGGGTCTTGTGGCAACTTTTGCTTTCAGTGGTTCATTATTTTTATATAGAAAGTTATAATACAGGAATAGCTATTTACCCCATTATCCCGTAGTAAGCTTTGAGTATAGCTTATGGCTATGGGTAAGCGATGGATAAGGGAAGTTGATTGTTATTATTCTCATACATTGTAAATTGAAGGATGTAAATAAATTGAATTGAAAATTGGGAAGTACAACTTGAGGAACAATTCCACCAAACATAAGCTCCTTTCCCTCTTTTGTCAAACATTCTGCTTTAAATTTTTATTTGTTAATTTAATTAAGTTCATCTTTGATCTATATCATAACTTCATGTTAAATTGAATTGTATTACTTTTCCTCTTTTATAGGTGCTGGAACAACTTACAGGACAGCCTCCTGTTTTCTCCAAAGCCCGATACACTGTCAGGTCCTTTGGTATTCGGCGTAACGAAAAGATCGCCGTCCACTGCACCGTCCGTGGACCTAAAGCTGAAGAAATTTTAGAAAGAGGATTAAAGGTAATGTTCAGTTAACCTGTTATGAACACTTTATGTCTTATTCTTTTTATAAATGAAATATCCTTTTCAAATGGTGTTATGGACCAAGCCATGAGAAATGCTCATTGAATGGTGGCCCTAAACAGGGTTGTTGGAAAAGAGCAAGCCGACTGGCTGCATGAAGTCCGCTGGATGCTTTGCGATGTGACTCTCGTGTAACTGACAGGCGCGGAGTGACCTGAGTGATGAGCTTGCGGCTACATGTAGCAGCAACAGTGTCAAGCTACAGCCAATTAGCTGCGCTGGTTGGCGGAGTGATGGCTAGCCGCCACAGTGTCACATCCTAGAATCCAATATTTAGCTTAATGTAAGAGTATTTGAACATGGTGATGAAAATCACTGTAACACTAGTCATAATTGTAGGAATTTGTTTGTGAAAAACACAATGCCAAGGTGTTATGAATTACGTTTATTAACTCACAGCTGAAGCTTTTCAATCTTTCCCATCAGTATCAAAAAGCCTCTGCTATTAGTTGATAAACATATCTCATAACACCTTGGCATTGTGTTCTTTGCAAATAAATTCCTACAACAATGTACTTAATATCGTTAGACCTCATTGGATTTGCTATTGGCTTTCTGAAAAGTGTTATAATCAAAGGGCAAGACAGAATGAATCGTCACTTGGGCCCTTCTGTAAGTCAAGGGTACATATTTTAAGCAGTCGCTTTTGTAATGAGTTCTCATAAGAATGTCATGGTTGAAACATGTTTTTCATACTTCTTTTTACACAAATTCATGATGATAAAATAACCTCTTATGGAGCCCATGGCTTGAATTTTTAATTTACTGTGCACCAGTTCAGAATGGGTGACCTGTGCGCCAAGGCGCCCTCTGGACTCATTATAGATGCTATTAGTGGCGACAGCATCATAGGGATTCTCCATTATATCAGATTGGATCCAAACAATAACATTGGCATAACCTCTTTCTATGCTACAAATCGAAAAAAAAATGCTGCAAGAAAATCGATACATATATATTGCTTTTCTGTGATGTGGCACTAATAGCGTCTATTCAAGTTACTTCAAAATATTTTAAAAACTTGTCGGGTAAATGTTGAGCTAACAGATCGTCAGACCAAATAGCCTTTAAATTACCACCGTTTCAGAAAGGAAAGGGCATGTGAATTTTTTCCTGTACCCTCAATGATCTCAGGTGTGTCGAAGTTAGAGTATTGAAACAAATAATGATATTTTTAGAATTGGAAGGAGTTCTCCTTTTTGACGATTACCTATTATTATATTGGATCATTGCTAAATTCATCTCACTAATTGTCATTCACTCTGTCCTTTCAGGTCCGTGAGTATGAATTGAGGAAAGACAATTTCTCAGACACAGGAAACTTTGGATTTGGTATCCAAGAACACATAGATTTAGGTATTAAGTACGACCCATCTATTGGTATCTACGGTCTTGATTTCTTCACAGTCCTAGGACGACCAGGTAAATCATTTAATTTTGACAAGAATTTCTTGTAATTATTTTATTATATTCTCTTTTTTTAAAGGGAGTACCCACTGTCTGTGCGTTGAGTTTGGCAAATCTCCTTTGATTTAATGATGAGATAAAATCTCATACAAAAAAAAATATAATACTACTGTTTCATCTGAGGTAATATCAATTTCTACTCCAACCAATGTATTTCTACAGTTTTGTTCAGTTGTTTACCCCAAGTTTCCAAAATTTAAAGAGTGAATTTTAAATCCTCAAGGTAAGGGCTTTTCTGTATACCTAGTCTCAAAGTGAGTGACACACGTAAAGGCATTGAGGAGGAAAAAATTGACGGCTGTACCCAGAATCATCTTAACCACCTGAGACAGTGCTTAGTATCCTTATCTTCCATTACCTTGCATTGAAATGTTATGTGCCATCTAGTCAGCTTCATGAGCAACAAGAAAGTGAAAAAAATTAATTTGACATAATGAACTTAGGAGAAAATTCCAATAATATATCCTCAATTCTACATACTCACACACCAAGAAGCTAACAGCGTACAAAGATAAGTAAATACACAGTCGAGATTCATTTCAGTGCCGTGAAAGGACTCTCGAAAGTCGAGTAGGAAAGTAATAACGAATCCCAGTTAAAAGAGTAGTTTTTCTAATTTTTTCTCACACCTATTAGAAGCCTTGTAACGCGGCTGGTTAGCCTCACGCGTTTCGTAAGCTGTCTTAATGATACCAAAGTGAACTAAATTGATCTTCATTTGCTTGTAAACTCAGGTGTGCATGGCTAAAAAGCTATGTCCAAAAGTGAGTTGACCTTTTTACTCTCACTTCGCATAAAGAAGAGCAAATCTTTTTGTGAGGTAGAAACTGCCAGATCATGGTAAGCATTTAGCATTTCGGACCTTTCTGATCCCCTCTGAGGGAGATCAGAGGAGGAAGTTTGACGACGTTTTGGTCATGTGTTATTACTGGCGAAGTGTCACTTTCTTGGCTGTTTTTAGGAAGTATTCATGTTATAAGTTATTCAATTTTCGTTTTTTTTTCTTCTTTTTAGGTTTTAATGTATCGCAAAGGAAACGAAAGAAGGCCAAAGTAGGAGCTCCTCATAGATTGACTAAGGAAGACGCAATGAAGTGGTTCCAACAGAAGGTAAGCCTTTTGAACACAAATTTTATCATCTCATATCGTAAAAGCTCTCCAATAAATAATACCTGCTATTTTTCCTGCTGCAGCCTATGAAGATAAAATTCAGAGGTAAAAACTAGAAAAAAAAGCGAGGTGTATCCCAACTGCCGCAGAATTTTATGATTTAGTATGATCAACTTATTGTTTATGACTTAGTAACCAAGTTCTGAAAAGGTTTTGTTTCTTTGGAAGTTATATTTTACTCAATGCGATATTTTGCAAGAAAAATTTGACTACTAATTTTGACTGAAATTCACTCCCAAACTTTTCCGAAGCTCTCAATGATGAGGTTGTAATTGATAGTGTACCACTAAGAAGAAGAAGTCGTAAGGAATTAAATATCTTATCATATGTTTCCTCGTTAACATTCCATGCAAAATATGTTGAACCCATTGAATAGTCCCAAAATGAACTCAATAATAAGGAATTAAAGATAGAAGAAGAATTGAAAGAAAGTAATCAAATTTTCTTTGTCTGACTTAGACTATAGTAGTATTTATTCGTCAGTAAGCAGTACGAGTTGGGATGCCTTGATTTCTGATGAGCTGGATGGCGTATGAAAATTTCTGCTCATTATTTATTTTTTTCTCTTAAAATGTCACTGTGCGACCTTTTTGCACAAATTTTCAGAAAATGTTGCTGATATAACCGAACAAATCTTGAAAATTTTTGTGCTCAAACTATTATCAGGTCTTTAAAAGTAAAATGAGACAGGAGATTTGCAATAACGGGAACTTGGGTGGTTTGGCGCCTACACCACAATTAAGTAACTGAAAAATGCAAGTCTAGTAGTGCAAAATTGCCCCAATTTTACTGTTGCTGTTTTTTATTTTGATATTTACAGTTATGCACACATTAGAACACAAAATAATATATAGAATCACTCGTACAAATGTAAGAGGTATTTTTTTCTTTAAATTTTTGTTTTTTCTAGAGGTAGAATGGCATGATTGAATTTGTTTATTCGTAGCACTCGGATAGTCTCTAATAGTTTCTTTTTCTTTTGTTTGTTTCAGTATGATGGTATAATTTTACCCAGCAAAAAGTGAGGTGTTGGATTTCATTGTTAATGTCTTTTTTTAAGTTAAATAAAATTTATACAATTTTATAAAAATTGCATCATCTATTGTGAAATGAACCTTTATGTCCAAACCAGTGTGCAACAAAGATGCATCCATTTAAACAAATATTAAATTCTTTTGCACAAATATTCTAATACTTTAACATCATTCTGTCATGAATTCAGTTGCCAAGCACATTTCCAAGTATAACATTGAACACCAACCTAATTCTGCTGAAGTAAATTTTTCAGGAGATATTGAAACTCTAAGATAAATTCAAAGCAGGGAGAGGCAGTTTAAATTTTTAAGGTAGTCAGAAGAATCAATTGAGGACAATAGCGGGAAAAGGGTGTATGTCAAATGTATATGTAGAACGTTTCGAAAATAACGCCTTTTGAACGTTTGAAATTGTTTCTCAACGAACTACATGGATCAATTAATCAAACAAAATCTTTTTTTTTTACCCACATCCTGAAGTTTTGAAATCTATTACTACCTAGCTTAGGGGAAACAACAATCATACAAAAGTTTATTTCAAGGTACGCCCTTCTTCTGACAAAATTCTCAATCGTTTCCTGTTCGTCATCAGGAATTTATTAGGAGCAGGGTAAAAAATCAACCTAATTGGATGTATTTCAACATATTTATTAGAATACAAGTTTTGCAAGTGTGAGAAATTGATCTCGCTGGAACAATTGTTATCCATTGAAGCCCTCGCAACTTGCATTTTGAAAAATCTGTAAAATACTGACTTCATACTGAGTTATTGCAAGTTATGTAGTTATGCTTGCCACTATTTGCGCATCTGCATTAACCAGAATCATCCTAATTGATTCCCATATTTTTTTTTTTTATTTTTATGTTTTACCAAGGCTTAGGTGTTGTACTTTTCAAAAACTTCGGAAAACCCTTTGCCACCCTGTGTTCTTTTCATTTTAGAGGCCATGAATGTGTTCATCCTTAATAGAACTGTAAGCAATTTTCAAACTTAATAGTAAAGCAAGTTCAAGACAGTATATAAATCAGCCTTGTCACGAGTGATGTATTGTTGCCCTCTTTAGCCCGGTTGAGAGAGTGCCAAGCTCTATTGATTGTAACTGGCTGCATATAGTTCTGTTGATCTTGATTAATGTTTGCCTCACGATCCATGAAGTCAGGCTGATTCTTGTTAATGCAGAATGGCTGATTCTCAGTTAACTCAATTCTTAACCCTCCATATGACTTCAAAGATGCGCACTTGCTTCTGAACCCTGAAAATAATACCTTTTCTGCCACCCATATTTGCTGTAATCAGAAAATTGTCAATTGGACTCCATTTTGCTCTTTGCAAGTACAATATCTGGCTCAATTCAAAAACGGCGTTTATACCATCAGTATCTCCATGCACACGAGTGATTCTACTGAAGAGCTTAAAATTTTAGTTCTTAATTGCAAAATGTATTCAAATCTGTGGGTTAGACTGATTCTGGTTTATCCATCTAAATATTGTAGTAGTCACTCGATTTTAAATCCAATCAATTCAGGGGATGAGGATGTGGACTTGAAATAAAGAAAATTATTTTTTTCCTCTCTTCTTTAATTTTCGTCAAAATTAAGGTCAATTGGATACCTACAATTTTTAAAAAATTAAATACCCATCTGTAATCTGCCCTCATTTTCTGGGAATAGTCGAAAAGCCCCAAAAACCTGGACAAAACATTATAAAGTTGACGAAATCAACCCTTATACCTCTTATTGATTCTCCTTAAAACTGAAGATTCGCCTCCCTTCAAAGAAAATTTTCCTGCTAAAAAGAGAATTTGAATTTTTTTTTAGCTAAGCCATCATCCAACTCAAAGACAAGAATTTTTCTTGGAATTTTCCATGAATAGAAATTTAAGAAAAAGCAAACATGGACTGATAATTTTTTGCAACCTTAAAGAATCGGACAAAGTAAGGAAAGTTTGCTGCGAAAATTTTTTCTTTCAGCCAGAATACTGCATTTTTTTTTTATTTTCAAGGTACTGCACTCTCTGAATCATTTTTGATCGGAATTTTTATCAGAAACCATTCCAAATAATCACTGAAAAGCCAGGAAAATGTGGGGGATTTTAATGTTCATAATATCTATAAAGCCCGGGGATTTTTAAATCCAAGGAAACCTCTCAGCCTGTGAACAACGATAATCGGACCGCGTTCAGCAGATCAACTCAACTCGCGCAACTCAACCGCACCCAAGTAGCATTTTTCAACGGAAAAATTGCGATTTGTTGCGATTTTGTCGGCGATAAAATCGCTAAGATCCAAGGTAAGTGAAACGGCTAAGATCATCAACTTTTAAGAGATTATCCTCGATCTTGTTGCAATAAAATCGCAATTTATGGCGATTTAATCTCGCTTTTATCGACGATAATTGATCGCGATTTTATTGAACCAAAAATTGCGATGCATAGCGATTTAATAGCCAAAAATCGCAATTTTTTATTCGATAGAATTGCGATAAATTGCCAAAGATATAATCGCGATTATCAACCGATAAAATCGCTATTTATCGCGATCACTACTACTTGGGCATCAGCTATTTCCAAAGTTAACTGGGCAATTTAATTTTTTTTGGAGAACGTATATGTTCGAATTCCTTTGAACATTTTAAGGAATTTACTTCGCACTAAGCAGAAAATTCCCTGATATTCGCCCAAAAATCCGCACAACCAGTCTCACATAAAAAATTAAACTGCACGATTAAATTTGGCAATGAGTAATGCGGCTTGGTTTTGGTTCCCTTCTGTTGAACGCGGTCCAGTCAGGATAGGTCTTAATGCCGCTCGTTTTGCCGAGGACGTTTCCGCAAATTTCACCATTTGGCAACTGCCACATGACGGTGGAAGTCCGCAACCACGTTTCTCCGTTTGCAACGTTGAATAACCGTATTGCGTTCAAAAAATTGAAGGCGTTTTGACTCCCTGCTCATACTACTTGTAGTTGATTCGATCGACGAACGCGTTGGTCGGCGTTGACGGGGACTCGATGCAACTTTTTAAACTTGATGGATGGCCGTATCGCACCGACTGAAAGGCGGAATCACGTATCTCCATTGCGGTGTTTCAAAATTTCCGTTCTTTTTTCATCTCTTCCATGAGAAACAATCCAAATACGACTTTAAATTTTGAACCAAATCTTCTGCTATCGAATACGAAAAATCATGGAGAATTTAAGTTTTATGTTGACTAGCTTCTCGAAAGAAAAATAAAATTTCTAAGGAAGTCTGCAACGTCGCAAATGGAGAAACGTCGTCTCTCATTTTGCCCAAAAATATGTATGTATAAAATTGAAGGCATTATGACTTTCCTCTCTCAACTTATATTCGTCTGTAACGAATGGGACGTGATTGCTACGGCGGCGCCTTGATACAACTGTACAACCTCGACGGATGTCCGTATTGCGTTCAAAAAATTGAAGGCGTTTTGACTCCCTGCTCATACTACTTGTAGTGGATTCGATCGACGAACGCGTTGGTCGGCGTTGACGGGGACTCGATGCAACTTTTTAAACTTGATGGATGGCCGTATCGCACCGACTGAAAGGCGAAACCACGTATCTCCATTGCGGTGTAACAAGCCGATTAAGGCCGGCAACTAATTGCTGCATGAATATAGTCTCCATTTTATATAATATATTCACCATTAGTTTATCTGTTTCTTTTTATTTTCAATTTGATAGACAATTCAATTTTTGCGTGCAACGACGACGTAAGAATGCAATGAGTGACTCGTTGCTATTACACGCGGAAAAAATGAAAGCTGGAGCGGCCTTTTCAATGGCAAGGGCTGGATATGCAACTATTCGTGTTCTCGGGATGTCAGTGTTGCATACACAAATGATTGCAGGCGCTCTGGCTCTTTCAGTACAACTTATGGCTGCGGCTGTTTGTTCCTGCGGATTGTCTATGTGACATTTTTATAATCGTGTTTACGCCCATGAAATTTTCGGAGTTCGTATCAGCCGTGCTGCATCAAGGAATGAAAACGGGCTCGAAGATATTCCAGTAAGATTTCGTAAAAATGGCATAGGGCCGTTAAAGGGATATCAGGCTCAGGCAAGTTCATGAGGGCGATCGCCGCCTAGCCCAGTCCGCCCCTGGCCTGGCTCAAAGGTTCCTACTTATACTTATTTTCCCCTTTTTCATGAAAGCATGCAAGTATTCTCCATTCCAAGTATTAGACTTGAATGAATGATTAAAATCATATTTCTCATCTCATTTCGGAAAAATCACGGAAGATTTGAAAGTGTCATTCACTTTTACTTTACCCTTTCAAAATAGGCAGCAAAAAACTTGCAACGTCGCAGATTGAGGTATAAATGTTTTTTATATTACCTCACCGTCGGTGCTGAGTCAATGTAAGAACCTGCGCGCGCGATAGAGAATAATTTCAGCGGTAATCGTGATCTTTCGCCATCAAGTCGAAGCTATACCTACCGTTGAAGGCGCTCTGAGCAACTATTCCGCCACAGAAGTACTGCACAGTATCAGACGGAAATGAAGGCGCACCATCATACACTGGAAAAAAAAACACATTGGATCTAGAGTCCAGACTCTTAAAAACATCGACAAGAAAAAGTACTCTTGATTCAATCAGAATCTAGCGTAAATCAAGAAGCAAGCCGCTTAATTTAAGCGGATTTCGTTTTGATTCAAGCAAAAATCTGATTGAATCAAGAGTATTCTTTCTTGTCAATGTTTTCAAGAGTCTGGACTCTAGATCCAATGTGTGTGTGTTTTTTTTTTTTTTCCAGTGTATGTATATTGGCTGGGTATCGGTCACCCCGTTGTGTACAGAATCCTCCAATCTGCGGCTCCTGTTCGATCGATTTTTAGAGACTTTGAGTCGGGAGTTATTTTTTTAGTTAAAAATCGAATTTTCAGTCAAATTCTCAAAAATTATGGATGGCGGAAGTGGCTTAAAATGCTATTTTTGCGCCTTCAAACTTATCCAACTTAGTAATAGAAATATCTGTGGTTTGTTTCAAAATCGATGTACTCTTAGCTAATTTAGAATCCGATATCGGCGCGCTTTTTAACTTTTTTGTGTTGAATTATTCATGTATTTATTTTCTTTATTATCTCCATATTTATTTCCTCATTTGATCATTTGAAGGACTAGGTACAATCAAAGTTCATGCTCTTCACATCATAGACCGTTCATAGGACCTTTAACGGCACCTACGGTAAATACCGCAGGTGCTCACAATTCGTCTTGCAGAAAAGAAATATGTATTATTCAAGTTTATGAAAATTAAACGATATTAAATAATGCTTGATTAAACTTTTTTTTTTTTTTTTTTTTTTTTAAATGAAACATTTTAATAAAGCATGAGATGAGTTATGGGTTTGAAGATGAATCCTCAAAGCGATCGCATCCAGCAGCTATAGGTAATCGCCGCTGTGCTAAATTCAGTCAGGGTGTTCTTCTTCAACGCAACAATTTCTCTCGAGCTCCAGCTGAAATTTCAAGTGAGAGAAAAATAATTAACGAATCGCTGTGGAAACTGTTCCGGCTGTCTATTATATTTATTTACGGTAAAACTGCAAAAAAGCGTATCTCAGTTGGCACCATTGCAGACTTCTGCTCGTCCTATATTTCTTTAATAAAAAACTATTCAACGTTATTGCTTGAAAACTCGATGATTTTCCTTCACTGTGTGACTAATATTCTGCGAAAGTGTCAAGTCATAATGTTCGTCCGATCTATCTTGAAAACATAGAATGTATATTAGATTGATGTAATTTAGATTTTTGCAGTCTCATTTTCTTTAAATGTCCAGCAAGAATTAATGCTGCAGGTCAAAACACACACTGTCAATCAATATACCTACACTGTTAAAAATCTGAGAGTTCATTTCACTACTAGGTACACCTAATTCATACGATGCACCATTCGGTACGACAAAATAACGTGCAAACTAAATCATTTGGAGTTGAATAAATTCGAATTGGATTCACTCCTATCGTGGTCAATAGGGTTCGCCTTCCTTTTAAGGGATTCACTCCTCTCATGCGCGGAGAAACATTTTCTGTTGGAGCAATAGAAATTCCAATTAATCATTTCTGGAAGAGAACCCTTGCTGAATCAACAGGAAATCTCTTAGTTTCAAACGTTATTTTTGTTATATCAGATAGAAGTCCTGTTACTTTAACCCGTAGATCCAATTTTTTTTTATACGCTGAGTACCTAGTCGGGTAGAATTGACCTTTATACCTACTCACTTAAATAGATCGATTTTGATAGTTTTAGAAGTATTATCAATGTTAATTGGACTGTATTTTGCAATTTGGAACTATAAATTCTGCCTCTTCTGGAAAAACACTTATCCGCACAAGGAAACTGATGGCACATACGTTGTTTTTAAACCGGGTCAGAATTTATAGTTCCAAATTGCAAAATGCAGTCCAATTATGATTTTTAAAGGTAAGAACCTCCGAAATTGTCACCTTCCTTGTAACTTAATGACGCATTCTCACCACTACCAAAGCACCACTATCAAAATTCAAAAAAACGGAAACGAACACAATATGGAGACAGCAAGGGAAAGAAAGCGCGTTGACGACGGCGCAGAGATACCACTATTCGTACTTGATGGGTGTCCGCGTTGCGTTTGCAAGATTGAAGGCGCGATGACGCGACGCGTGAACTCTCTATGCTGCGTTCTACGGCGCTGATGAGGTGATTGAGGTGTCGCTTAGTTTCGGAAGAGAAGCTTAAAAAAAGAGGCCCAAACTCGTCAAATCTATCTTCTGCTGTGTTAACACTCGATTTTTTTCTCCATCTTTTTCTGATTTGATGTCTAATTCTTGTTTTAATTAGGATGTATTTGTAGGTCTACGGCCCCATAAAAATCGGGGGCCAAGTGTTATTTGGCCCGCGTCAAGCAGCAAGAAACCAAATCACGTCAGCTATTGCCAAATTCAACGGTGAAATTTGATTTCTTACTTGAAAACGGTTGTGCGGTTTTTTTTGAAAATCTCCTTGAATTTTCTGCATGGTACGAAACAAATTTCTTAAAATTTCCAAATTATTCCGTACAAACGTTCTCTCGTAAAAAATGAAATTGCCCAGTTAAAGCAACAGCTGATGTAGCCTGACTCCTTTCTGCTGAATGCGGTCCCTTTGCAAGCCTCGGGTTAATTCTACCCGGCTCGGGCATCTAAGGGTTAAACAAATTTCCGGTTGACTCAACGATAGTTTTCGTCTGGGTATTAATTAATCGAAAACTTTCCTTCAGTGTGCGTTTATGGCTCCCTCTCCTCTAGCGTGGTGTGTTTCACTACTCCTCGGAGTCATTCATTCTGGCCGATAGTCGTGTGCACCGCACCAGTGGTGTTGCGTGCTTTACGATATATCGATCGATCTGCCATTAACACCTATGGAAAATGGTAGATTTACAGGGTGTTTGCAACGAACTCCTTAATACTTTATTTTTCGCCGTAGCTTCAAATGGGAAAATCGACGGCGTAATGTCCGCAATCACATATCTCGTTTGCGGTGTCTGAAAATCTCTGCCTCTGTGTTATTTTTTTAAAGGAGAACAAATTGACATAATTCCTTGACGTTTTTGCAAAATTTTCTTCGGACGGGGAAGAAAAATCACGAAAATTGTAAATAATTGCCGTTGATCAGTTTTCCGTTTAAAAAATGAAGTATGACAGGAAGTCTGCGACGTCGCTAACCGAGCTATGTGATTGCCGACTGACACCGTCGAAAATTCGATAATCGATCATTCTCGCCCCGCCACTGGTGTGCACAACTCTGTTTCAACTATTTACGTACGGATTTTCCAACTATTTATATACACACACTTTGTGAACGCATAGCGCGGCTAAAAAGGAAACCAATGATTGATGAAATTATTCAATGCTTTTTGGGAAAAATGGTTCTCCAAGCCCCTTTCATTCGAGGAGGTACTTACCTTTTCAACAGAAAAAACTTTCAACTTCTCTGCGGCAAGATTTTTGCAAGTTTTCAAACCGGTAATAATTCGTGGCTTGGACCCGAGAGTGACCACTTCATTTAAGTTGATATCGTTGACAATAGGAGCGGAACGGAACTTTAGTTTACCGCATTCAACTTGACTCATTACTGCTGGCGTGGGGAAAAAAGTGTTCGTCCTCAAAACCAAATCTGTGATAGCAAAACAATCTTCCAATTATGGACAAAGTAAAGATCACAAGAATATTACACAAAAAAGGACCCAAGTCACAGTGCAACGAAAATATTGAAATTAAATTGCAATTTGATTTAAAAAGAATTGTAATTTTTTACCATTAAATTGCAATATTTTTACATCAGATAGTCGAATTATGCCAATTTTAAACAATCAATATAATGAGCTTCATGTGTCGGAAAAATAAACAATATGCAATGCAATGAAAAATTGAATCTTATTGCAATTTTACTGCAGTGAGCTGTAATAAATGGGGCCCCTTCAAATAGGAGCTAGGCAACATACACAACACTCAGTGGAATTGCAATGTTTTTACATTGCAATTTTTACTTATTGCAATCTGTGCTACTCGGGGATATCGACGGAGAAACTCCCAAACCCCGTACCTCGGTTTGCAACGTTGTAGACTTCCTGTTATACTTATCTTTTAAATTGAGAAATACTCAACGTCAATTTTTAAAAAAATCCGTGAATCTTTTTCTCTGCGAGAAGAAAATACAACTACAAGGAATGATGTTGATTTGGATTGCATTTTGCAAAAAGGAACCACTAGCATTGCAATGTTGCTAAGATTGTGCAACTTATTTGTCCTGGAGGAAAACCCCGATTATCCCTTAATAGTTTCCATTTTACTTGCTAAAAACTGTAAATTTAAGACAAAAATTACCATCTAAATTTCATAGTTTTTCACAATTTCCGCAATTTTATTGCAAAGGATGAAGTTGCACAATCTTAGCATCATTGCAATGCTAGTGGTTCCTTTTTGCAAAATGCAATCCATTTGTCCTCCTTCAAAAAAAAAAAACAACAAAATATGAGCATAGATTTTTGATCACCTCAACCAAGAATCGTGGTTGGGGGATTTCACCTTTGATATTTGAATTATCAAACTCTTAGCTGTTTTATCGTATTAATCAGGTGAATGTGTTCGCAAATTATTTAATTTTGTGCGAGACCATTTCTTTTTAGACTCATAAATGTTTGCGTACTTCCCCCACTAAAAAAGAAAAAAAAAAAAGTTTCTTCGCATCTTAGGATGGTAAAAATATCCACTTAGCAAAAAGGGCTCTCATCTTCTATGAATATCTAAAAAATGGACACTCTCAGGAATGGTGCAGGAAGAGGAGGAGATGCGCCTGGTTCTGCATAATACACCGTGTTTCCCAGAATTTTTTTTTTTTAGCAACGCCCATGTACGACACGCCATGTATGCCCTGTAGCACAGTGCAATAAAAATATTGAAATAAAATTGCAATTTTTTCACATCTTTTAGGAAATTAATACTGATTTTAATAGATCAAGAAAATGAGCTCAATGAATAAGACATGTATACCTAGGCAATTTGCAATGCAGAGAAAAATTGCAATATTTCAACTGTATTGCAATCAACTTCAGTATGAGGTATCCTTCCAATCAGTAGATCGGCAACGTACACAACACTCCGATACAGTAGCAATAATTTTACTACTAGTATGTAATCGCAATGTATAATTGGATTCTTCTTCCGCAAGAGGCACATGCGCATCTTTTGGAATACCTTCGGTTACCCTCGCATTTACTGATTCAATTAATGGTATGATTAAAATTTACTGATTCAACTGAAGGTATGATTAAGTACTTTACCATCCGTCGAGATATTATTGACCGAGTCTGCTAAAAGCCAGTTGACGATAACAGTAGTGAAGTTGAGAGGGGCATGGATGAACTGCCGGTCTTTGTAAGTGAGCAACACGGCTGGACTTAGTTGAGGAATAGCTACTGAGTTCACTTCCCCGAACAAAACATTCAAGTTTCCCCACAACCTTAACTGAGTTATTGGGGGCAACTCAACTTTGTCCAGGTACCGTATCAATTTCAATGCTTTCATGAGGGTTGTGTTCATCCGGCCCATGTGGGAAACAGATTGCTCGGGATATACGATACGCAAGTGTTTGATGAAACCGTTTCGCAATACCAATCGCTTGCCTATGAATAAAACAGAAAAAGCTAAATAAATCTACCTGCTTAGGCACCTATTTTTAAGTTAACTATTAATAACCAGAGCTTCATACATGAAAGTATAAACCCGTTTTATGCATGTGAAAGGCATCATCGAAAAATACTGACGGTTCTGCGAGAGAGTAAGTAGTGGGCTCACGATAGTATTTATAAATGTTGCGGTCTTTTTCGGCTACTACTGGTCATTTTTGGCTTGTGAGTGGTGACATCATTGGGACATCCCTTGATGACGCCCTTTGACACACTCGCTGATGAAGCTAATGCTGTAATGCGAAACGATGCTTTCCTGTACCAGATTTATGACATTTTTAACTTGCAAGATTGATTTAGGCGCTCCATTGCGGAAGAGAAATTTAGAGGACACGCCATAAAACTACGAGGCTCGGCTGAAAAGTAACGCAAAAAAAAGGGGAAAAAAAACTTGAACCAAAAATGTTAGTTAAAATTAAAGATGTTCTGAAATTAAACGTAATCAGCGCCCAAGGCTTCTACGCACCCCTTGGGATGAATTGCAAAAATTCTTGAGATTAAAAATCGCAACTTGTGAGACGTTTCTGGGAATCCCCAAGAAAAGGCCTCCCAAAATGAGGGCTGATTTTTGCCCCTTTTTCGGCATTCGATTCGACAATCGAACCAAGCTTTAAGTGGAAGCTCATAATAATAGAAAACTCGGGAAAACTTTCAAGATGAGTAAAAGAACCGTTTTCCAGGTACGGGTGGGCAAAGGGGTCAAACTCCGGCCTTATTTTTCGCTATTATGTTGTTGAATTGATGTGTCTACGGGGTTGTTATCGTTGTTACACATGTTATAAACACGGGTTCCTCCGTATTTTTACACGCATAATCGAGTTTTAATGTTGACGAGTTGATATATTGATCAGTTATATCGATTTTTTAGAATTCTAATTGGAGAATCGACAATATTTTGAGATTGACATTGTTCATTTTTGATTTAAAGACAGCAAAATGCACATATTATGAGTGTAGTACACCGACACCTACGTATTTTTTCTTGTAGAATCGATTTTTGACATTTACGAGTCGATATATTAATCGCTTATATCAAATTTTTGCAATTTTTTAGGAAAATCAATGATATATTGCTATTGAAATTGGTAATTCTCCATCAGAAAACAACCATATTTTGGGTTGGAACACATTTCCGGTCGAGTCAATTTCAAAATACAAGTTTTCGATTGGGGCACACTTCCGGTCGAGTAGAAATTAAGATTTTCGATTTCCGGTCAAGTAAAATTTCGGGTGGATAACGAATCCCGTTGAATGTGGCTTCCCGCCGGTCAGTATTTCCAGGTTAGACTCACCCCCGGATTAGGCTCCTTAGTTGCCAGGGGATGGCCCCCGTCTTAGGCTTCCTAGTACTACTACGGAGTACTACTACCTACCTAGTACTTCCTTACAAAATCTCAAAAAATGTCAAACATTTTAAGTAGGTACGTATATTATTACTTAGACGTACTTACATTTTATGATTCCTGTTATATTTCTCCGCTCGTTAGTAATGAGCACTTTTGAAAAAGTTCTTTTCATGGCTTGAATCGTATTGTCCATCTGTTCTACGTCTTCTTTCCTTCTTTTTAGTTTCTCTAGGACAACACCTAAATTCTGAAACTTCGGTATTCCAGTTTTTCCTGGAAACGAATTTCACTTTCTTGCTCAGTCCGGAATGACGGGTTAGTATCCAAAGTCTAAAGGGTGTCTCTCGAAAAAGGAGCCACCTTGAATATCTGCCGAACGCGTCGGAATTTCGAAAAACGGAAAAAGCCGTGTTCGTTGATATCGAGTGGGACACCTTTTGGCGTATTTGACATTTTCCCAAACCGCGGGAGGGGCGCGGGGCGGGGGGTGCCCCAACCGTAAGTCGAACTTTTCAAATGGCACCCCTACTTTGTATTTCAGAAATCAATTCTACGCAAAAAAACCAGCCACCCTGTCCAAAGCGAATGTAAATCGGACAATTTTTCAGTGATTGGCAGAGGTTGAAACATTTTTTTCATGCTCTTTTCAAAAATTTCCCACGCCCAATG